TAATTAATTAGATAAACTTTATACTGAATTATAAGCGACAGATGAGTTCAAGTACTAAGCAGTTTTTAGAGTTTATAAAAGCATGGTTTGTGATATGTTTAATATATATATCTCTAGGTTTTACCAAATATGACAGCTCAATATTATCATTGCTGAGATTACCAATTTATGCTGAGATTAAATATTCCAGGATTACTGAATATATGCCCAGGTAGCTTAAACAATTCTCAGATTAGCAAGAATATTCTTAAATTCTCATTAAGTTCCCATGTTGACATTAAGATTGCCAAAGATATGTCTGGATTGCTTAATATATGCAAAGATTGTCACTGCTCAATGAATGCAAAGACTTTGACTTTGCTGAATATATGTGCATGGTATAACAGAATATGAACAGACTCAGACTGCCATGTTTATGATAAATTATCAATTTTTAACAATCTAAAACACATAAACTGCCAAATATAAGCTTATATTACCAAAACTATATAAAGTTAACTTATCTGTTAAAAATAATCATGATCAGCCTAGATTATGGTAATACTACTTAATACACATTACATATCTGCTCATGACTTAAAGTACATAGTATTCAGGGTTAGAATATATCTAGATGCCAAATATCATGATGTCAGATTTCTCTGCCTTGTTACAAAATGAGCCGCATCATGACAAAACCAACATAGTGCGTTTGCGGAACCAAGCATGGATCCAGACCAGCCTGCACATCCTCACAGTTCTGATCAGGATCTATGCTGTTCGCTTACTAATCATATAACAAGTAGAGAAACTGATTGGCAAACAGCTTGGATCCTGATCAGACTTGGCATGGATGCCCAGCTGGTCTGGATCCATGCTGGTCGCAAACACACCATGTTGCTTGTCATGGCGCAGCTCAAATATGTTTGTTGGTTGATCAGTGTATGTTTGTAGACAGCAAACGTGTTTATTTATTATGACTCACTGAATATGTACATTCATATACTAAAAAACAATTAACAGTTATAATATCTACAATAAAATTGAGCAATTTTGCTCCAAGTTTGAAGATAAACTAGGTATTTGGTGCTTCATAGAAAATGTCACTTATGTTTTAATATGCCTATCCATTATCAATATAACACAGTAGTTTTAGCATCAGTTATACAAAAAGTAACATGCACTTGTTTACTAGTTTTTTCTGCTAATAAACAGTATTAAACTAAATATATAAGTTTTCTTTAGATCATTAATCATCCAATATGTTGTAATTTAGGTTGTTACCACACTTAAGTGTAATATTATATATGTATATAATTATGCTTCTAAAACAATTTCCAAACATTCTCCCTTTATTAACATGAAATATAAACTCGGTAATATCTTTACCAAAAATGCTTTCTGGAACTTACAATTTTGATAGATCTTCATTTGAGCATTATATCTATGGTATAAAACCATACGTAAATTATTGTGTTACAGGATCTACCTGTTTGTTGTAATTGAGGTTGATACCACACTTACCACACTTAAGTTAAATTATATATATGTATATAATTATGCTAATAAAATAATTTTCAAGAATCAAAGAATATGTAAAATATGTACTGCAAATATTTGTGCACATCATATCTCATATGTAATCATTAAAATATATGCATTAATTTTTTATTAGAAAATTTGATTTAGACCTTGTAGAAAATAAATTTCTAATAACCTCCCTTTATTTACATGAAATGTTAAATTCGTAAACATCTTTACAAATAATGCTTTTAGGAACTTACAATATTGATAAATCTTAATTTGAGCATCATTTTTATGATAATAAACCATAAAAAATTTATGTTACAGGATCTTTAAAACCTTTTAGAATTACAAATTATGAAATAGTTCACATTTAACAATAGCTTCCATTACCAGCATTGGAAACAAGAATTTTGTTTTTATATGTACAGTGAAAGTTGAGGAGACATTTTCAGATAAATGTAAAAGACAAATAAATTATCATTTCTTCAAATTCTAACTTGTCTAATTTGTCATTTTTGAAATATGCACAACAATCTTGCATCGAGTTCCTTAGTTTTTCATATTAGAAAAATAATATAAATGAAACAACATTTTAATTTCTACAAATGTTTCTACAAAATATGAAACATTCATAAAATGCCACGTTTTAAAGAGAATAAAAAACAAGCACAACTACAAAAGAGTGACTGGAATTTAAACAATAGACATTTGTGCATCTTGAACACATCCATACTGTACCAAATTCTAAACAATAAACACATTACATCAACTTTTTTATATTCTATATAGTCATAACCTATTTAAGTTGCTATACATATTTCATACACTTCTGTCAAAGATCCTTGTATCATTACTGAAGAATTTTCAAAACTACAGAATTTAAATCAATTCTAATTCTCTCTTAGTATGTGTTACAAAATTACAAGGACATGGTTTGTATCTCAAGTTTTAAAAAATGCATTATAATAAAATACTACACAGGAATGATACTAAAATCTTAAACAGAAGACCCTATATAACATTACATGTATAAGGGAAATAACAAGTATATTCTATAGCTAGTTTATTATGAACTTAGACTTGGACTGTTGTTCTGACTATTACTCTGGCTGTTACTCAACACACTACTTGATTTCTTGCTCTTTGACAATACAATCACTTGCTTACTTAGCTCACGATTCTTCTTTTCTAACTCACGATTCTTTTCCTGCAAAAAATTAAGTCATGTAAGTTAATGTATATTGTCAAATTTTGTTTAATACAATGTAAAATAGATAATTATACGTGAATAAAAAATGTTATTTCTACATGTATTGACTTTGAAAGACAAACAGATTGAAGACAATGAGTCCAGGCTAGAAATAAGACTATTCAAAATGTTAAAGAAGACATGTTTAAGCTAGAAATGATGTTGCCACATTCCAATTTTTATCACATAAAGTCAGTACTTCTACTATTGCATACATGTATAAACATATAAGTTACCTTTTTAGTTACACATGACTAAAGTCTATATATCCTTATTTTTGCTACACATGACTATCTTCTAGATAACCTTATTTTTGCTACACATGACTAAAGTATATATATCCTTATTTTTGCAACAATGGGTCTGCATAACTCTGCTAACTGGAAATAACGATGAAAATTTTTTTTTGTACATTCACATGATTGCATTTATTCTAAGAAAGTTCCTTTACTCCAGCACTTATACCTTTAAAGTAACACACAACACCAGTCTAACAAGAGCTGTCACAGGAGACAGCCAAGCTCGACTAATAAAATACTGGACGCAGTAAGGAAGACAAAACTATGAAAGAAAAATCAATTATGTATAATAATGTATTAAGTTATAGTAAAAAAATGACATTTGTTAACATAAATTCCAAGATCAAGGGGAAATAATTCTAGAAATAGTCACGCTAGAGTTATGAACCTTGTCACACAACATGTGTGTTATGATAAGAAATATATATTTGAAGTTTGAAGTAGATACCTTAAAAAGTAAATAAGTTATAATATTTCTTAAAGAAAATCCTAAGTTCAAAGAGAGATAAATCTGTAAATATTGATTCAAGAGTTATGAACATTGTCACATAAAATGTAATTGATGATAAGAAATAAGTATTTGAAGTTTGAGGTAGATACCTTTAAAACTAAAAAAGTTATAGTAAACAAGAGCTGTCACAGGAGACAGCGAAGCTCGACTAATGAAATACTGGACGCAGTAAGGACAAAACTATGAAAGGAAAATCAATTATGTATAATTATGTATTAAGTTATAGTAAAAAAATAATATTTGTTAACATAAATTCAAAGATCAAGGGGAGTAATTCTAGAAATAGTCATGCTAGAGTTATGGACCTTGTCACACAACATTTGTGTAATGATAAGAAATATATATTTGAAGTTTGAAGTAGATACCTTAAAAAATAAAGAAGTTATTGTATTTCTTAAAGAAAATCCTAAGTTCAAAGAGAGATAAATCTGTAAATATTGCTTCAAGAGTTATGAACATTGTCACATAAAATGTAATTGATGATAAGGAATAAGTATTTGAAGTTTGAGGTAGATACCTTTAAAAATAAAAAAGTTATAATAAAAAATAAAATTTTTCTAGTAAAAAAATCTAAGTTTATGGGAGATAATTCTTGCAATATTGGTGCTAGAGTTATGAACCTTGTCACATAAGATGTGGATGAGGATAACGTAAATATATTTGAAGTATGAAGTTGATCCCTTTAGAAATATAAAAGTAACAGTAAAAAATAATATTTTTATGGAAAATTCTAAGTTCAAAGGGAGATATAAATCTGAAAATATTGGTGCTTGAGTTATGAACCTTGTCACATAAGATGAAGATGATGATAATGTAAAATAATTTGAAGTATGAGGTTGATCCCTTAAGAAATAAAAGAAGAAACAGTAAGAAATAGTACTTTTTGAGGAAAATTCTAAGTTCAAGGGGAGATAAATCTGAAAATATTTGTGCTAGAGTTATAACCCTTGTCACATAAGATTGGGATGATGATAAGGTACATATATTTGAAGTATGAGGTTGATCCCTTAAGAAATAAAGAAGTAACAGTAAAAAATAGTATTTTTTAAGGAAAATTCTAAGTTCAAGGGGAGATAAATCTGAAAATATTGGTGCTAGAGTTATGAACCTTGTCACATAAGATGTGGTTGATGATAAGGAACATATATTTGAAGTTTGAAGTTGATACCTTAAGAAATGACAAAGTTATAGTGAAAAATATTTTACTGCACCAAAACTTTAATCTAAAATCTGGACGCGGACGCCGGGGCGAGTAGGACAGCTCTCCATATACTTCGTATAGTCGAGCTAAAAATAACATTTTTCTAGTAAAAAAATCTAAGTTGATGGGGAGATAATTCTTGCAATATTGGTGCTAGAGTTATGAACCTTGTCACATAAGATATGGATGATGATAAGGTACATATATTTGAAGTATGAAGTTGATCCCTTTAGAAATAAATAAGTAACAGTAAAAAATAGTATTTTTTTAAGGAAAATTCTAAGTTCAAGGGGAGATAAATCTTAAAATATTGGTGCTAGAGTTATGAACCTTGTCACATAAGATGTGGTTGATGATAAGGAACATATATTTGAAGTTTGAAGTTGATACCTTAAGAAATGACAAAGTTATAGTGAAAACTGCACCAAAACTTTAATCTGAAATATGGACGCGGACGCAGGGGCGAGTAGGACAGCTCTCCATATACTTCGTATAGTCGAGCTCAAAATGCTATTTTATGCTTCTTAGGTGACATAACACGAACAAGGCAAGGGCAAATATATATGCCCCTACCCCTTTCCCATATGAACGGGGCATAAAAAAGAATATATTTACCTGTAGAGTCTCTACAGCTTTTCCATTTGTCTTGGTCATGTCACTCAGTTTAGATCTAAAGGTTTTCTCACTCTCATATTGAGCAGCTTTCACTTCTGTCATCTGTAACATAAAGGAAACAAAGTCTCTAAGCTAATTTGTACTTTAACAGTACATACATGCTATTACACTGCAATGGTACTGCAGTTTTAAAACACATGTATAACATTGATAAATTGATAATCTCAGAGAATTTTTAAAAGAGTTTGCATTGGTGATAAATCTTTAAAATCCTTATAGTGAAATGAACAATGCCACCCATATATACCGGTACTTCATTGAACAAGAAAATTGAATAGCAACAGTTAAAATTCACTGGTATCTAAGTACCAGTTTTTCTCATCTGAACAGCAGGAAGAACTTACTCATACTATAAAAAGTATTTTAAAGTTTTCTTGTACAAGCAATTGAGTACCTTTTTCTCTTTTCTAAGAGTTGCTGATCCTTGAGACTAAGTTGTTTTTTGAGGTTATCTAGTTGCTCCTGTAGTCTGTTGATTGCTATAATATGCTCAGAACTGTTTGGGTCTACAGGAGATTTCTCTGTTGCCAACACTGATGTTTTAGTTGGTGTAAGAGTACCAGTCATTCCATTAGAGTCACTGTTTTCTAGACGAGGCCGTTTGCTAGGAGAACGGGGGCTATGAGATCTATATAAAGAAGAATAATCAAAATTTTAAAGATCCAAAGGTTCGAAGGGTGTATTTAATAAATTTGAATCTTGAACTTTTAAAAATTATCTTGCATTCTAGCACTATCACCAAAATATACACTATGTTTCAAGTTAATTCTATCCATACCTGTAAACATCAAAGAAATTGAAAAAAAGGCTCAAAACGATTTTACATCTAATTTGATTGCAACTATCAGAAATAATTTATAGAACAATATTTCCCGTCATATTATGAGGAAATTGAGAAAGATTTAAGTTTATCAGCATGACAAGCTTTTATTAATTTTACTGTCAAACTTGTACAGTAATGTTCATGCTTTATAAAGTAAAGATAAGCAAAGATTACACTTACCTTTTGTGATGATGATGATGCTTTGACTTGTGATGATGGTGGTGGTGATGATGATGACGATGTTTATTATGCCCTTCTTTACTTCCTTCTTCCTTCACTTTTGTTACTACATCACTTGAGTCATTGCTTTTTTCATCTTTGTGTTCACGAAGAAAATCAAATGAAGATGCAAATGAGGGTGGTGTTGACTTTTCCCCAACAGACAAATTTAAGAGAGATTTCGAATCTTTCTGAGGAGTTTTAGCAGGCTGGGAATTACTTGCATTATCAAACGGTGAGATTTTATCTCGGCTATTACTACCTGAACTTGTATTTTCATTTTTTTCAAGTTTATTTTCTACTTTATCTAGCTTGTCAAGTTTATCATAGCTACTAGGATTAGATCTTAATCCCTGTCGTTTTTGTTCCTGTCGCTGTTTCGCCTTTTCTAAAACACGCTTATATGCTAAAGCACACAGCCAGCATAGAGTTTTGCCGTCCATCTGAAATACAATTTCCAAACATATATTTGCTGCAAATATTTTATTTCAATCTGAGTGAGCACTAGAACTTCTTTTATCTCTAGAGACAGATAAAAGACAAACAGAACAAAATAATATCAGATAGTCCTTTAGTAAAACCAAACACAATGTGGCATGATGAAATGTTCCTTTCAATTTCATTTATAATTGATTTAGGGTACTTGAAGCAAAAAATTTAAAGAAGAAAAAATTTTAAAAGCAAAAAATCATTGTATGTAATTAACTTATTGCTTCATTCTACCTTGGATCTTGTCCTCTCAGACTTATCAAATGCACATTTCATTTTACATTGTTCACATGGCAGTGGTGAGCCAAATTTCTTCTCATATGCTGTACATCGTTGACATTTGTTGTCTACAAATGCAGCTGTTAGGTTACAAAACCTGCATACAGTTGGCTGGAAAAAGATCAGTATTTTACATTACAGAATCATCAATATAAATATTTCAATCATTAGTATCCTGATATGATTTAGAATTAAACTCACAATTTGAAAATTCGGCATATGCCATTTCATTTAAACCATAACAATTCAACACAATCTTTCCATTTCAACTGATAATATCTAAGGCTTGTAGTTGGATATACCTAGCCATGCAAAGACTTGAAAGAGCTATACAGTTTTACACATGCACTTGTTAAGATATCCTTTTAAAGGTAGGATGGTCTTGTCTTGTTTTAATAGTAAAGTTTTAAAAATAGAATTACGATAGAATTATTACCTCTCCATGAAGTTTGATATTGTAAGTGCAATGTTTACAATTATGATTTGTGGAGCCTTTCCTGAAAATAGAAACATGTATACCACATATACTTCTTCACATGGATTACAAGTTAAAATATACCATTTTCCCATATATATCATTTACTTTGCAGAATGAATTGTAGCTGTATACAGATCTTTAAAATTTTATTCAAATTGTTTAAACATGCAAAGAAATGCCTGCAAAAAAACACAAAATTATACTAACTCTCCTGGTGTATATTCTGCCCTGCATGCTGAGCACTTCACTACTGGCTGATAGTTGCGACAACCCTGAAATGTTAATAGTACATTATTTCCTATAATTTTGTTTATGTAATTTATTCCTCAAATTGAAAATGCTCATACAAAATAAATGTACATTTTCTGTAAACTAAACAGATATATTTGCACAAGCCGATAAAATGGGCTGGACCACAGACTCAGCATTAAAGCTGTCTATGTATGATGTGAACAAGTTAATTTGAAATCACATTAAAATCAATAAAAAAATTTATGCCCAAGCCTAACAAGTTTGAGACAAATCCTTAGTTATAAGGATGCCACCAGGGTATAGATGGATACCGAAAATAAGTTATTTTCGTGAAAATAAGATTGCGGCTACGAAAATAAGATTTATTTTTGAAATAGTGCATTTATCTGTTAAAATAATTATGTGAGTTATATATTCATGCATTCTTTGAATGATCTAACAGCACATTAAAATTTCAGAACAAAAAAAAAATATAAAAAGTGAAGGTTGAGTGTACGAAAATAGCTCAAATTGCCGTGAAAAGTGAAAATAAGATTTATTTTCATATAATGTATTAAAACGTATTTTTGTTGTTAATAAATAATTTGTATGATAAATTTGAGAACCAAAAATGAAATATATTTTATAAAGTGAAGTTTGAGCCGAAAATACCTTTGTAGGAAAATACCTCAAATTGCTGTGTAAAGCGAAAATATGATCGAGTCTACCATATTTATTGAACGTCTAATGTCTAATATTTCATTACAAACTATTTCATTCTTTATTTTTTCATTCATACAAATAATTCATTAACAACCAAAATATGTTTTTAATACATTATATCAAAAATAAATCTTATTTTCATAGACCCGATCTTATTTTTGCTTTTCACGTTAATTCGAGCTATTTTCATACGTATGTTTTTTTGGCTCAAACAGCACTTTTTAAGATATTTTTGGGGTTCTGAAATTTTATTTTGCTGTAAAATCATTAAAAGAATGCATAAATATATAATTATCGTAATTATTTAAACAGATAAATGCAGTGTTCAAAAATAAATCTTATTTTCGTAGCCACGATCTTATTTTCGCGAAAAGTCTGACAGTTAAGACTTAATCATATGTATAAGATTTTTTGCAAAAAGAGTCTATCATACCTTAGAGCCGACTTGAGTTGTTGTGCTGATGCAAGATTTTACAATACTAGATCAAGCAATTTTAATTTTATTGTCCCCCAGTGTGTGATGAACCAGACCTTATTTTATAATGGAAATAAAGATTGGAATGATCTGCCAGAATAAGAAAGTTATTAAAGTCTTTCAGAAGATATATATGTGTACAACTAATGTGTTAGGAACTGTGATCCAATAGTTCTGTGATAGGCTTATTTAAAAAAGGGCATACTTTTATAAATATATTTCCTTTTTCAACCAAAATTTTGACCAAAGTTAGTTTAGTTTTATCTTGTTGTTTTTTTTAGGGGGGAAAGGGTTAAAATTATGTATTCTTATTTCTATGGACCCGATTGGAAATAAGCATTTAGCTTAAAGGGCTATCCATAGGTGCATAGAAGTTAGAACCTTTTATTTGATTTTTTATGACAAAAGTGTGCTCTTTTATGCTGTTTTATGATCTCATTTTAAATATGTGATTTATATGCGGAAAGTCCAAGCGGGACCAAAGGCCCCGCGAGGGCTGTTGCGCTCTTAGATAACATGTATGACATGTATCAATTGAAATGAAATCAAATTAAAACTAAATGAAAATTTCAAAAAAAAATATACCCTATACCTGATGAGCTGAGAAAAAATCCTTAGTTAACTGGGCGCCGCCATTTTGAAATCCTTTTGAGCTAAATATAGATATCACAGGTGCTAGTCACATAATAAAAATTTTTACATAACCAGTTTATATATGTATATAAAGATCTTATTATAGTATATAGCACATATAAAACTTTAAAAAGTTTGTTTCAAGTACCTGTGATAGATATCAGACCGCTCTTAATGAGTGTATACATAATTCATACTATTGCTAGCAGACACATGCTAAGTTACACTTCCAGTGAAAGATTAATGTACAAAATCAGACAATAAACCTACATTTCATTGATAAGAATTATAGTAACGATTATAAATATAAACAAGAGCTGTCACAGGAGACAGCGAAGCTCGACTAATAAAATACTGGACACAGTAAGGAGCACAAAACTATGAAAGAAAAATCCATTATGTATAATTATGTATTAAGTTATAGTAAAGAAATAACATTTGTTAACATTAATTCCAAGATCAAGGGGAATAATTCTAGAAATAGTCATGCTAGAGTTATGGACCTTGTCACACAACATTTGTGTAATGACAAGAAATATATATTTGAAGTTTGAAGTAGATACCTTAAAAAGTAAAGAAGTTATTATATTTCTTAAAGAAAATCCTAAGTTCAAAGAGAGATAAATCTGTAAATATTGCTTCAAGAGTTATGAACATTGTCACATAAAATGTAATTGATGATAAGGAATAAGTATTTGAAGTCTGAGGTAGATACCTTTAAAAATAAAAAAGTTATAATAAAAAATAACATTTTTCTAGTAAAAAAATCTAAGTTTATGAAGAGATAATTCTTGCAATATTAGTGCTAGAGTTATGAACCTTGTCACATAAGGTGTGGATGATGATAACGTAAATATATTTGAAGTATGAAGTTGATCCCTTTAGAAGTAAATAAGAAACAGTAAAAAATAATATTTTTTATGGAAAATTCTAAGTTCAAAGGGTGATAAATCTGAAAATATTGATGCTAGAGTTATGAACCTTGTCACATAAGATGGGGATGATGATAACGTAAATATTTGAAGCATGAGGTTGATCCCTTAAAGAAATAAAGAAGAAACAGTAAGGAATAGTATTTTTTGAGGAAAATTCTAAGTTCAAGGGGAGATAAATCTGAAAATATTGGTGCTAGAGTTATGAGCCTTGTCACATAAGATGGGGATGATGATAAGGTACATATATTTGAAGTATGAGGTTGATCCCTTAAGAAATAAAGAAGTAACAGTAAAACATAGTATTTTTTAAGGAAAATTCTAAGTTCAAGGGGAGATCAATCTGAAAATATTGGTGCTAGAGTTATGAACCTTGTCACATAAGATGTGGTTGATGATAAGGAACATATATTTAAAGTTTGAAGTTGATACCTTAAGAAATGACAAAGTTATAGTGAAAAATATTTTTACTGCAACAAAACTTTAATCTAAAATCTGGACGCGCCTGCGTACGCCGATGCCGGGGCGATTAGGACAGCTCTCCATATACTTCGTATAGTCAAGCTAAAAATTAGTTTAACATATCCTTTTTGATAAATAAGCACATTAAAAATAACGTTTAAACCAAAACTGCAAACTCCTCACAGCGGTTATGTCACACTTTGTTACTGTACTGATCAGGGAAAGTAACCGCTGCGAGGAGTTTGCCAAAATTGTGATTAGAGATTAACAAAAATGGCGGACGAGATTTTCCAAACGACAGCGCATGCGCAGTGGCCCCCCTACACGTTCGAAATTTTTTGGAATATTCCGATCGCTCAAAGGATAGGTTGAACACCACCAAATTATTTGTTTTGTTTATGGTACAAAATAACTGGCAGTCTGCAAGAAAGATCTGGTTTACATGTACACAAAACATGTTATGCTAAAATCATAATTCAAAAGATCTTTCCGCGCCATAGGTAGCACCTAATTTCATGTTATATGTTACCTCTTAACTGTATGATTTTATACGGGGAAGTCCAAGTCCGGACCTGGGCTTTGCTTGCCCGGCTATAGACTACACGTGTATATTTAAAAGAAAATTCAAATAAAAAACAATTAAAAAATATAGAGAATTCTATACCTATCAATGAAATTTTCAGTGTCAGTTCTAGTTAGACGCCGCCATTTACAATGTAACTCAATGGTAAAAGGCGGTGTATTCCGATAACGGAACAAATCTCAACTTTTGTGATTATTAATAATCGTGTTTGAGTGAAAACGGAAGTGGGTTCATATAATACCGAATGACACCTTTAAAACAGAAAAATAAAATAATTTTTTACAGTGTCTTTTCTAGGAATTGAAAAATAGGGGTGATTTTCCCCCCTCTATTTTAATAAAGGGGGCGATTTTCAAAATCAAAGGGTGCCAATATAAACTGCCAATGTTAAATCGTCTGCATTAAGTTTTCACTGAGGCGTTCAACCTTTGAAATAATTAAAAAGATAATATTTATTTAAGGCAGCAGAAGTTGTCCCCCCTTAATTTTTAAACGAAAACAAATTATTACACAGAGATCTGCCAAGAATTTGAAAGTACTGTGCCCTGGGCCCACTTGGTATGAAAATGATGGGCCATTTTTACCAAAGTATGGGCCTTGGGAAAATAAGTAAACATTGACCAAAATAACTGTTAAAAAGTTTGTAGATAATTGAATTTCCCCCGTAATAAAACTTAAATCATGTTTTATGACAAGTGGTTCACTTATAATTCAGTACTTTACCAATAATTAAAAATTATGCCTACATGGTAACTTTCTAACTAATATTAATTGCAGGCAAAAATGAAAATATTTTTTAAATGGCTGCTCAAAAATTTGATATGCAAATTTATTCACATAATTGCTGGTTCTTACTTGTAATGTCTTATATTGTGCATTATCCATTTAATTGTTCATACTTTGCACCAAATGTCCCTTACCACTGTATATTGACGAATTTTATTGCCCCTTGTATGCCTCTGTGTCGACAGCATACATCAAAGACATTTGCCGACAGACCTTTTGATCATGAAAAAAGTCATGCAAAATGTTTCTCTGATTGGTTAATCACCCTGTCAAACATTCTGATGACGAAATATACATCTTTTTTTACACTTCATCAGCCAAAACTTGCGTGAACTTGAGTGACCTTAGGGTTGATCAAGTTGAACACCTGTCAGATTATACTGTAACTTACAGCATTTCTTAAAATAGCAACACTTTTTTTTCAGTTACCGATAATCATTTTAAATATTAAGTACTTGTATAATTTGTTTGTATGTTTTATTGGATTAAATTTACGGTAGTAGAAATGAGTATCTGTGTGGGAAAGGGATTATGAGAAGAAATGCGTTAAGAAGATAACATGGACAAAAGCTATAGGGGAATGGATAAACTCAAGAATATGCGTAATTACAGGAGCATGGGTAACATGTTGCTGTTGGACGGTACCAGTTTTGACTGGATGACTAAATAACCCAGCAGACAGTTTTGTTTTCTTATAAGTCTGGCACAGATTTAAGATGCGCCCATGGCCCTTTGTTGCCGATTTTCCTGCGCCATTCTCATTTTTTTAGCGCCAATGGCGCAAAATCGCGTCCTCGGCAGATCTCTGATTACAGAACTGCCGCAATTGATTATAAAGGGATTGGCAATACAAATAATCGAACTATCTTTTACGTCTAGATCGTAGCCAAGCTAGGAATTGCCTCATTTTTCTTGATTATTTACTACACTAAAATGGCCCCCAACTGTCAGACCTAGCACACTAGTTCTGGTCGATACGGAACATTCTGTTTATTTCTGTCAACTCAAGTAACCAGTACCATACGGTACTAAATTATTATAATTAGCTTACAGTTACCTCCCTTCGGTTTTGGGGGCAAATGTAAACAAAACAACCAAATATAATGCGGGATGGAAGTTTTACGGTTTTATTAACTTTTTATATAGATGTGTGATTTTCACGCACATGATTTTGAATTGTGCGAGATCTGTTAAATACTAGTGTGAATCGCGCAATCATGCATCCTAGAATAGACACTGTTTTACCGACTTCCAGGTTCGTAGGCTTTGCCTAATTTCACATAATTTGCTTTGTTCCTAAAATGTATAAATAAATTAATTATTAAATAGCTTATTTTCAGTATCAATCTATACCGGTGCCACCATATTACGGGAATGTCATAGGCCGGGTCTGTGAAGCGGGCCCGGGCTTTGGCTATAGACTACATGTGTATATTTAAAAGGAAATCAAATAAAAAACAATTAAAAAACACTGTGGTTCTATATTTCAGCTATTACAGATAATCTACATTTACAGGACGTTTTTTTTTTTTAAATGACAAAAGAATGAATTGTTTAAATAATTTCATCTAGATTATCTTAAACTTCCTGAACGCAACTTAGCTTATTTCAAGAAATTTCATTTTACAATTAAATGACATGCGGACGATAAATATTGTCTGAAAATCTTTTGTGAGAAAAAAAAAGAGACAAATACGAACTTTACAAAGCTGTTCTGATTTGGATAGTTGTTCAAATGGGTGCCTGCTGTGACATTTCGTACAGGCAAATAAAGCAGCCATTATTTTCTTTATTTTGTCTCGTTTTTTTGCTTAAATGCACGCAGTTTTTATAAAACTTTCTGTAGAAATGTTTGACTTTCAAACCGGAAGTCAAAATTACACCGGAAACGAATTTGCGCATGCTCTTCACGGTGCATGCAAATTGCTAATCGTGATAATTTGTGTATCTGTCACACATGTTTATTTACTTTTAAACATCATAAGGAATTGAAAATATAGAAAGAAACTCTCTAACAAAATGTCAAAGGAAACTTGTGATGAAAAAGTAGATCTTACCTATGAGGAATTTTTACTTGTCCATCAAAACCAACTGGAGAATTCATGTGTACCACAGCTGTACTGGGCAACTCTTTTTAGAAAGTTGAAAAATGAGGTGACCAAGCTATCACTAGTTATTCACAGGGACATGGGAAAGTATTGCCATAGTGTAAAGATTATTCTTGAAAAAATATATATATGTGTCTATGAAATATTTTTTCTGGAATTACTTTTTACACTATCACAGTACCCTTAGACCTCAACTTCTCTACTACCACCCTAGGGTCATGATTTTTGTGTCGCTTTGAAAAAGGTGACATATAGTGGTTACTTTTGTTGGCAGCGGCGTCCCCTTGTCAGAAGCATAACTCAGTCACTATAACTCGGATACATGACCTGTAGTTCAATGCACAAGAACAAGTACATTGTGATTCTTAATTTTTGAGTTATTGCCCTTGTTAATTCTCATAGTTTAGTTTAGTTTGTCCAGGCCATTTCACATAAACTATGAAATCTATGGACTTGAAACTTCATAGGATGATACATCTCATTAAGAAGAAGTGCAGTGCAGACTTCCCGAAATACGTCGGTCCGACAAATTTTGATCAGGTCCGACGATTCTTTATTCCGGATCGGTCCGACTGTCCGGCTTTTATCCAAGCCGCATGTATACAAAATGGCGTCGCTAAAGGTGCCAAAGCTGGGAAAAAAAGAAAATCTACATCAGAGGAGCGCGCAGAACAGCAATAAAAGGATGAAAAGAATAAACCTGAGACAAAATTTAATGAAAAATGGAAAAACAGAACCATGAATCATTGGTGTATGACAGGGATGAGATGAAAATGCGCTGTACGGATTGTGCCAATTTTTACGGCGAAAAAATTAAAAACAAATAAGTGTCTTAGAAATACAAACACAAGTTATTCTTTGATTTTGATCAATTTTATTTGGTCCGACAGATTTCGTTTCGGTCCGACAGATTTTCATGGTTTGTCAGACCGAATGTCTGACAGTTTTTTTCAACTTTCGGGAAGTCTGGCAGTGCACCATAACTGGTAGTTTGCACTTCTTATTTTTTTAGTTATTGCCCTTTGTTAATTTTCATACTTTTTTTTGTTTGGGCTATTTCTCCTAAACTATAATAGCTATGGACTTGAAACTTCATGATAGGATGATAGATCTCATTAAGAAGAAGTGCAACTCACAAAAACTGGTAGTCTACACTTTTTATTTTTCAAGTAATTGCCCTTTGTTAATTTTCATACTTATCATTTCTCCTGGACTTGAAACGTCATAAGATGCTAGATCTCATTGAAAATAAGTGCAGCGTACAAAAAACGGTACTCTGTACTTCATGATTTTAGAGTTATTGCTCCTTATTAATTATTATGCCCCCATTTTGAAAAAAAGGGGTATATTGCTTTGCACTTGTCGGTCCGTCGGTCCGTAGACCAAATGGTTTCCGAGTGATAACTAAAGAACCCTTAGGCCTAGGATTTTCAAACTTGGGTATGGTGATTGGTCATGACCAGTAGATGACCCCTATTGATTTGGGGTCAAGGGGTCAAAGGTCAAGGTCACATTGACCTTGAAAGCAAAAACGGTTTCCGATCAATAACTAAAGAACCTTAAGGCCTAGGAACTTCAAACTTGGTATGGTGATTGGTCATGACCAGTAGATGACCCCCTATTGATTTGGAGTCCAAGGGGTCAAAAGGTCAAGGTCACATTGGACCTTGAAAGCAAAAACAGTTTTCCGATCAATAACTAAAGAACCTTAAAGGCCTAGGAACTTCAAAACTTGGTATGGTGATTAGTCATAAACCAGTAGATGACCCCTATTGATTTTGGGGTCAAGGGTCAAAGGTCAAAGGTCACATTGACCTTAAAAAGCAAAAACGGTTTCCGATCAAATAACTAAAGAACCTTAAGGCCTAGGAACTTCAAACTTGGTATGGTGATTGGTCATGATCAGTAGATGAGGGGTCAAGGGGTCAAAGCACAAGGTCACATTGAACCTTGTAGGTAAAAAACGGTTTCCGATCAATACCTAAAGAACCTTAAGGCTTAGGAAACATTAAAACTTGGTTATGGTGATTGGTCATGATCAGTAGATGACCCCTATTGATTTTGGGGTCAAGGGGGTCAAAGGTCAAGGTCACATTGACCTTGTACGTAAAAACGGTTTCCGATCAATAACTAAAGAACCTTAAGGCCTAGGAACTTCAAACTTGGTATGGTGATTGGTCATGATCAGTAGATGACCCGTATAGATTTTGGGGTCAAGGGTCAAAGGTCAAGGTCACATTGACCTTTTTAATTAAAAACGGTTTCTGATCAATAACAAAAGAACCCTTAGGCCTAGGAACTTCAAACTTGGTATGGTGATTGGTTATGACCAATCAGATGACCCCTATTGATTTTGGCGTTAAGGGGTCAAAGGTCAAGGTCACATTGACCTTGTAGGTTAAAAACGGTTTCCGATCAATAATGAAAGAACCCTTAGGCCTAGGGACTTCAAACTTGGTATGGTGATTGGTCATGATCAGTAGATGACCCCTATTGATTTTGGGATCTAGGGGTCAAATGTCAAGGTCACATTGACCTTGTAGGTAAAAAATGCTTTCGGATCAATAACTTAAGAACCCTTATGCCTAGAACTTCAAACTTGGTATGTGATTGGTCATGACCAACAGATGACCTATTGATTTTGGGGTCAAGGGTCAAAGGTCAAGGTCACATTGACCTTGTAGGTAAAAAAACGGTTTCCGATCAATTAACTAAAAACGCTTAGGCCTAGGAACTTCAAACTTTGTGTGATGATTGGTCATGACCAGCAGATGACCCCTATTGAGTTTTAGGTGAAGGGGTCAAAGGTCAAGGTCACATTGACCTATTAAGTAAAAACGGTTTCTGATCAATAACTCAAATAGAACGCTTAGGCCTAGGAACTTCAAACTTGGTATGGTGATTTGTCATACCAGCAGATTACTCCTATTGATTTTGGATCAAGGGGTCAAAGGTCAAGGTCACAATGACCTTGTAAGTAAAAACGGTTTCTGATCAATAACTAAAGAACGCTTCGGCCTAGGAACTTCAAACTTGGCATGGTGATTGGTCATGACCAGCAGATGACCCCTATTGATTTTGGGGTCAAAGGTTCAAGGTCACATTGACCTTTTAAGTAAAAAACGGTTTCTGATCAATAACTCAAGAACGCTTAGGCCTAGGAACTTCAAACTTGGTATGGTGATTTGTCATGACCAGCAGATTACTCCTATTGATTTTGGGATCAAGGGTCAAAGGTCAAGTCACAATGACCTTGTAAGTAAAAACGGTTTCTGATTCAATAACTAAAGAACGCTTCGGCCTAGAAACTTTCAACTTGGCATGGTGATTGGTCATGACCAGCAGATGACCCCTATTGATTTTGGGGGTCAAAGGTCAAGGTCACATTGACCTGTATGTTAAAACGGTTTCCGATCAATAATAAGGGGAACCCTTAGGCCTAAGAACTTCAAACTTGGCATGGTGATTGGTCATGACCAGCAGATGACCCCTATGTGATTTTTGGGGTCAAGGGTCAAAGGTCAAGTCACATTGACCTTGTAGGTAAAAAACGGTTTCTGATCAATTTACTAAAAAACGCCTAGGCCTAGGAACTTCAAACTTTGTATGATGATTGGTCGTGACCAGCAGATGACCCCTATTGAGTTTTGGGTCAAGGGGTCAAAGGTCAAGGTCTGACCAGTAGATACTTTATAACCCTTATTAATTGTTTGATCACTGGGTCAGACGTCATGCATAATAACCTTATCACATGACTAATTGGCTGCTGATAGGGGGCATACATGTTTTACAAACATATCTTGTTATACTTTACTTTTTTTCAGGGCCAATTCTCTTACACAATAAAAGCTATTCAAGGCACATCAATCCTAATGTAACATTGTTACAATCTGTTCAAATGTCATTAAAGTTCAATTAAGGTACATGTACATTGTAAGAGTGGTGTTTATAAATAACCTATATTTAAGAAAAAAATCCTAAGTGACATCCATAATGTTCACAAGGTGACACATTCAACTCGCGGAGTTCTAGTTTAGTCCTTAGTTGAGTGTTGCTCGGACTTTTGCTTGTCCGGCTATAGACTACACATGTATAGTTTTTGTTTTAAAGATGTCATTTGGTCTTTCATGCACTGCTTCTGTTAACAATCCAAGCACCTCGATGATTATTCTTAAGCCAAAAAATTGTGATTGCTCTGTTATAGGAATGCCCCACTGATTATCATTAAGTTACATTAAAAATGGTTGGGCACAACTAGAAGTGATACTGAAAATTTATAGAAATCTATATATTTTTTTGTTGTTTTTTATTTGATTCTCTTTTAAATATTATACAGTCTAAAGCTTGGGCAAGCGGAAGCCCAGGACCACAAGGCCTTTGTTCACATATCTCTTCAAAAATGTTTGCCATACTAGTAGTTAACAGAAATCACTCATTTTCATTGTAATTACCAATTTTTCTGCTAAAGACCATCAACTAATCCTGCATGATTTCTTTTTTAACCAGGTTTTCCGAAGGTAAAAAAACTGGTTATTAGATTGATGTTGTCGGCGGACGGTCGCGGACGGGCGGGCGGGCGGGCGTAAACAATTTCTTCTGTGCGCAACTCCTCCTACATTTCTCAACAGGATTTTTTGACCAAACTTTCACAGAAAGCTTTGTCATCAAGTGCCCTGGCGCATATTGTCGCGGGTTTTGCGATTAGATAATATTTGAACCTAATTATGGCCCTTTGTTTTTTTCATTATATAGAATATATAGTGAACAATTTCTTCTGTGCGCAACTCCTCCTACATTTCTTTACGGATTTTGACCAAACTTTCACAGAAGCTTTGTCATCAAGTGCCCTGACACATATTGTCAGGGGTTTTGCAATTGTATATATCTGACCTAATTATGGCCCTTGTTTTTTTTCATTATATAGAATATATAGTGAACAATTCTTCTGTGCGCAACTCCTCCTACATTTCTCAACGGATTTTTGACCAAACTTCACAGAAGCTTTGTCATCAAGTGCCTTGGCGCATATTGTCGGGGTTTTGCGATTAGATAATATTTGACCTAATTATGGCCCTTTGTTTTTTTTCATTATATAGAATATATAGTGAACAATTTCTTCTGTGCGCAACTCCTCCTACATTTCTCAACGGATTTTGACCAAACTTTCACAGAAGCTTTGTCATCAAGTGCCCTGGCGCATATTGTCAGGGTTTTGTGATTGGATAATATTTGACCTTTATTATGGCCCTTTGTTTTTTTTTTCCTTATATAGAATATATATGAACAATTTCTACAGTGCGCAAACTTCTCCTACATTTTCAACGGATTTTCGACCAAACTTTCACAGAAGCTTTTCATCAAGTGCCCTGGCGGCATATTGTCAGGGTTTTGTATTGGATAATATTGACCTATTATGGCCCTTTGTTTTTTTTTCCTTATACAGAATTGAACAAATTCTTCTGTGCTGAACTCTTCCTACATTTCTCAACGGATTTGTTCAAACTTTCACAGAAGCTTTGTCATCAAGTGCCCTAGCACATATTGTCGGGGTTTTGTGAATTGGATAATTGTTTACCTAATTATGGCCCTTTGTTTTTTTTCCTTATACAGAATATATATAGTGAACACTTCTTCTGTGCGCAATTCCTCCTACATTATTCATGTTTTACATTGCACATAGTTTCATTGTTTGTTGCTTGTATTTGTATTTCAAATACAACATATTTATCTACAATGGTGATAATTGAAAACCTGGTTTCATGGCATTGCCATGTTTATTGTTTAAATTGTTTATTTAATTTATTGAATAACACATACAGTAAAAACTCTGAAAACCAGACCCTCTGAAAACCGGAATCCTCTGAAAACCGGACCATTTTAAAAGTCCCGTATTTTTTCCCTATATGTTCATTGAAAAAAAAATCCTCTGAATACCGGAACCTCTGAATTCCGAAAACCGGACGATTCTCTATGGTTTCTAATGCTAAACATGCATAAAAAATCCTCTTAAAACCGGACAGCAATTTAAAGTGTCAACTTTCTGTGTACTTTAATGTAGATCTAAACATAATATCAACAGGTGACATGTTCACATATACTCCTTTTATCTATGCAGGTGTGAAAGCACTTATCAGTTTAATTGTTAATTTGTTATTGCCAATTAAATTAGAGCTCTTTCATCATATTTGTGTCTTACCTCGTATAGATATGATTTTTCAAAAATGTTTTTAATGTGTTATGTTTTCTTTGAAAATAAAATGTCTAAAAGAGTTGGGGAACTTTTTTTTAAATGGTTCCTGTTTTCTTTTAAATTTTGATCTTGAATTTATCTTTGTTTTGATATCAATTATATGCAAAAATAGTTATACTTATTCCATTAATTACATATTTCAAAGCTTATGAAAAAGATATTATGATATATTTCAGACAATGTGGTGTTTTAATTTCTGATTTTCTGAATTATATTCCATGAATTATATTCATGGATTTGCATAATAAATTACTTAAGACATTTATATTAAAAAGAAACTAAAATATGACTTAGACAAAAGGGTTGAAAAGTCATTGTTCAAACATATCATAATTATCAATAAATGTATAAAACCTCTGAAAACCGGAATCCTCTGAAAACCGGACTTTTGGTCAAGTCCGGACAGGGTCCGGTTTTCAGAGTGTTTACTGTATATGTAGAAGAATAATTACTCTGTATGCCACATGTTTTGAAGCTTGATGCCTTGTATTTAACCCACACTTTGATTGTCTATTATTTCAGATATTTGATGCTGGTGAGGTGTTCCAGATTCAGTGTGTTGAGGAGGCGGTTGATGATGAGGTCAATGAGGTCAGTGAAGAAAATGATGCCAGCAGAAATACTTGGAGAGTTATTGTCAATAACCAAGACGGAATCAAATGCATCGATAAAAAACAGTAAATTACTGTGTCTTTGTTCAATAATTTTCAAGGATCTAAATTTCAGTAATTTTCAAGGAACTAAATTTCAACTATTATTTCATTTTATGTATTATTTTTGTATAGTAATTGCCTTATCTGTATTCCTGTCTGAGCCATCTAATAGTAAACAGAACAAGGCGTTCCTTTCAATGAGGCCATTACCATCTACACAACAAAGTACAATAGCTACAGAAATTGCTCCAAAGTCAATTTAAGTGCCATGAGCATCAATCAGTCTGCAAAATCACTTTGTCAATGAATTCTTAACGATTTCTCTTTAAATTTGGAACTAATATTCACCATCATAAAAAATGTGTTACATGCATGATTTGTATCCTTTGCTGACAGAAGTTAAAGAACAAACAACAAGTCTGTGTGTTCAGTCAATTACTTTGTCAGACTTTTAAGGAATTTCGAAATAACTAGGCACAAACATTCAAGACCTTGTTTTTGGTGCAATACAAAGACCCATAGCACAACGACAAGGGTTTAGGCTACAGTGAGGTCAAAAGCTGTGAAAGGAGTCTAATAGTGTCTTGTCTTTACACTTTGGTCATCCCTTGATAGAGCTTGAAATTACTTGGCACAATTGTTCACTTTCCTGATTCTAACTCGGAGTCTATTGTTAAGCATAATTTTCTGGACCATATGTAATCTTAAGTGACACACCTTGTTCAATTGAAAAGTGTATATGATAAATGCGATAAATTTAGCAAAAACTTAGTTTTCTGTATTCCAATGAATGTTTGCATGACGTTTGTTGAATTTCTGATGCCAGCAATTTGAGCTGTCATTTCCAATGCAGAGTGAATCATTATAATGGCTGAACATCTATTGAGAAAAAGGGGTTTGTGTTTGAGCAAGAAAATATAAAACTTTATAGGATTTTTGTTTTGTAGATTGAGTCTTATTTTTTTTTCCAGATATATGAGACCATGGTAATCTTTGGTATTGTTTGGTATCTGCCATCAAGGTTAATCTTCTCTTATGGCCATTCTAATTTTGCTTCACAAGAAAACTTACCATCATATTTGATCTCCTTTAAAATGAGTATGAAATGTTTTCTTGCTTTATAATAGTTCATATTTTGTAATGGATATACAAGTTTGATTGTATATTTTCAGTATCTACCTTATTGATCATGCATGGACATATCGTGTACATGAAGCAAGGCAGTACTTGATGCAAGTAGCAGGGTTAAAGGAGAGGATGTGTGCATTGATGGATGTCCAAATAGAAAATAGAGAGGAGAAAGAAGTAATAGATGATATACTGAAGGAAATGTGGAAGTTAGTCTTTATGTTAACTTGTTAAAACATGTTATCTAACATGTAGACATTTTTTACCTAAATGGTGGTTTTAAAATTGAACATTAGTATGTTATATTTCTGTTCAACTTTACAAAACTTAACTTTAACTGTTATGAATTAGATAGTAAGGGAAGAGTTTGGATTTGGGACAATCCATCGTAAAGGATCTCAAAATTAAATTGCTAAAGTTAAGCTGTAAATTTTGTTTAATCAAGTGCACACTGGTATAACTATTCTGCTAAGGTAAAGTAAGTCACTTTACTCGTATTCGAAGCGGTTAAGATATTGTTTATTTTGACTGAAATATCCAAAAAAATATTATTGTCATGCACTTATTGCCATCTGTGATGAAGGCTAGTGAAATATTAGGGGTGCAACATAAAGGTTTATATGTTTAGAGTGAAGATGTGTTGTTAAATTGCAAATACATTCTCCCAATACATTGAATATATGGAGAAACAATTTACAACAGAGTATTATCTGAAGATGGAATAATTATTAAACCTGGAATACACTTAAAAATCATTTCCTGAGATTTAGTTCATATAGACTATATGCAGGGTTAGTTGATGCAGCGCCCCTTTAGATGGACTAACACCCCATAGTTGATGCCAGGCATCAACTAACCCCACATTAGATGAACTAACCCCCCTAAGTTGATGTGCCGCAACAACTAACTAATCTCAGGAAATGATTTTTAAGTGTATTCCAGGTTTAATAATTATTCCATCTTCAGATAATACTCTGTTGTAAACTAAAGGTACTGCTTACTTTTGAAATGTTAAAAACTCAAGAAACGTTTTATAGGCTTTTTTTTAAATATATTGAAAAGAATGTTTTTGATACTTTAAACCTTTATAAAACAATAAGAAATAAATTATTTTTTATATTTACAAAGTTGCAATGCTTTTAATAGTCAAAATACTTACATAGTATATCTTGATCTAAAAAGACATAAAAGTCACTGTATGAGTTATGTATATGTGGACTCTCCATTACAGTGTATACATTAGTTTAATAACAGTTTATAGCTGCAGTGAAGCATTTTGTTATTAAATGTATTTCTTTTACACATATTTTAGGTTTAATAACACATACAGTATTGGGAACTATGAACTAGTAAGTTATGATATTGCACATTGCTATTACATCATTGTAAGCATAGGATTATTATTTTTCTGAGAGTAGTGCAAGTTTTTTGCTAAGGCAAAGAAAGAAATTTTGAACCGGCACTGAAAGTTTTCTTAAACCTTGTATGATTTTGCCTGAGTCAAAGTGGCAGGTGGAGCAATCTGCATCCATCACTTTCTTTAATTTACTTGTTAATACTTAATTACAAACATTTAACTGCTTTTTACTCACCAGAATCAAGAATTTATGCATTACTATCAATTTCCAATGCATGTTTGTCTGATAAGGAATTTATCCATTTCTTTTTATTGCAAGTTTTGTCAGTGAACACTTTAATATTAGTACATAGAGAGATTAGAATGTGTTTCAAAAAGCTAAAGAATGTTATGGATGACTAAATTATTTATTTACTGAAGCATTATGAAATTAACACTTTTTTAACATTTAATAAATATATTATATCTGTATACAGGGTACAAATGAACGTCTTCCTATATGGTATGTAATGGATGAGTTTGGTTCTCGTATTCAACATTCAGACATGCCTTCATTTAAAATGGCACCTTTCATGTACGGACCACAAAATCTGGCATTTTCTATCATATGGCCAGTTAGAGATTTGGAGAAAGGAGGTGTGTATAATTTAAATATTTATCATGCAAGTGTCTTTACAAGTTATGATTCTTTATAACACATGAATGAATACATAGTTTAATAAAAGTGTCACTTACAAGTTTATCTCTTAAATATTTAAGAATTTTAATCTTAAGCAGATGGAATAAGTACATAAGTAGCATTTAGCATGTTACTTTATATGCATTGTTGATGTATTTAATATGTAATACAATATTAATAACACATTCATGTGAAAAAGTAAAGAGCAAAATTAACAGTTTAAGTTCAATATCTTGTCTTAATTTTTGCTAGAATCCCCCACCCCCTCCAAAAAAAGATTGACCATTTATCTCTCCATACTTCTTATTACATTTTTTATATGTATTTGCACCTAAGACATAAGTTAAACTGTATGACTGATTCTTAACATACTGTATATCAATATTAATATTACATGATAAGTATGTTTTAACTATTAATATCATATTATGTATAATATTGAGCTTGTCCTGGTTTCTAAGAAAATCTAGCTGTTATGAATGCCTGTGTCTAGACATCTGCTTTCATTTTAAACATTTTAAATTAAGTAGCTATGATAGGGCAAATGCATAGTTCATTATTGCTTTTTGCTTATTCCCTGACAGCCGTAAATTAAATTCATAATCTATTGTTTGTGGTATTCTAAAGCTGGTACATTGATGAGTCCATTAAATTTTCAGAGCGAGACAGTAAGCAAGAAGATTATGTACCAAATTTCAGCCATCCAGAAACGCGAGAAAAAGCTCTACTGTTACCGTACGCAGGCTTGGATCACCAGGTAGATGACTTTACAGATATTTCATATGAACAACCAGAGCCTGATCCTTCTTTTTTCTCTGTAAATATTTGTATCATTTATTAGTGCATTATCATAGGTGTGAAATTAATGCTTCTTTGTGAAATTGATTTAGATATTATTATGAAAAAAAGATTAAGAAAATTTAACATTTGTTGTTAAAGTTATGTTTTAAAATTAGCTGCAGCTGACTGTATAGTGAAAAAAACCTTTGCTATACTTTATTTTATAAGTCCCCTACCGGTTTACCGGAGGGGACTTTAGGTTTACCCTCCGTCCATCTGTCCGTCAGTCCGCACTCACAGGAGAGTAATTATGTGGCTAGAGGGACAATAGGTAACTGTTCTTTCTCTTTGATGTCATTCATTCCGTAATGCTTTTATGTGGCTATTTTCTTTTGTGTGGCTAAAAAGAACAATAGAGAGAACAATAGAGTAGCCACATAATTATTGTCCTGTGAGAACTTCCGTCTGTCCGTCCGTCAGTCTGTCCGTCCACAAAACTGGATCCTGTGATAATGAAAAAAGTACTGAAAATATTTTTATGAAACTTGATATATGGATAGATGGCAGTATGGAGATTATGCACGTCTTTTTCTTTTCTTCCTATGTTGAAAATTCTGGTTGCTATGACAACAAGTAAACTGAAAATATGGCAAATTTTACACATAACCTGGATCCAGTGATAACGCATAAAGTACTGAAAATATTTTTATGAAACTTGATATATGGATAGATGGCAGTATGGAGATTATGCACATCTTTTTCTTTTCTTCCTATGTTGAAAATTCTGGTTGCTATGACAACAAGTAAACTGAAAATATGGCAAATTTTACACATAACCTGGATCCAGTGATAACGCATAAAGTACTGAAAATATTTTTATGAAACTTGAAATATGAGTAGATGGCAGTCTGGAGATTATGCACATTCTTTTCGTTTCTTCCAATGTTGAAAATTCTGGTTGCTATGGCAACAAATAGACTGAATTTCAAGATTTCTGATTCAAGTTTTAGCGTTTTTTCACTATAAGTTCTTTATTTCTTAAGGTATTTTCTTCAAACTTTAAATATAAGTTTCTAGTCATCAACCACATCAAATGTGACAAGGTTTTCAACTCTAGCATAAAATTTATCAGAATTTCCTCCCTTGAACTTAGAATTTTCATGAAAAAAATATTGTTTTTTTAATAACTTCCTTTTTTGTGAATGTATCTACTTCAAACTTCATATCTATGTTTCTTATTATCATTCAACATTTGTGAAAAAGTTCAATACTCTAGCAAGACTATTTCCAGAATTATGCGGCTTTTGCCCCTTTTGAACTTAGACTTTTTTTCGAGAAATTGGTAATCTTTACTCCAACTTTTTCAATCATTATAGGGTTTTCTTCAAACTCCCACATCATAAAAATATGACAAGGTTTATAAATCCAGCATCCATATTTCCAGAATTATCTCTAATCTCAAATATCTATCTCAAATTATTATTTGTTCTTTGTTACACTCACATCATGTATGACGTCTTGCATCTTTATTTCAAGAGTTATCTCCTCTTTAAGAATTTTGCTTTTAAAAAAGTTATATTTTGATAACAGGGATGTTTAAAGAAATAATTTAAGAGTATCCTTCAGTCCGTCTGTTTGTCTGTACATAAAAAACTGTTTCCTGTGATCACTTTTAAAGGACTTTTGCAACAAATTAGAAACATAAGTGAATGGCCCTTCAGAATGTTGCTGGGCTTTTAACAGGTAGGGGACTTATGGATTGCTTGCAATACTATGATAATTGCTTGTTCTTTTAGGTATTAAGATGGAATACATTTAAATATACGTATTGAAATTTGCTTTATAAAAGTCTGAAATTTTAATGCTTCTTGTATTTTTTAAGATATTTGTATTTACATGTAATTTTATGACTCTCAAAATGGCAGCCATGGGAGGTCATTCATGCTGTGAAAACCAGACATTTTACTTGCCACTAATAATAACTCATTATAATTATGAAATCTGACGACATTCTATTAAAATGTTCCTATATAACAGGCACACAGGATAGAAGAAGACACAGGACCAGGTCTGACAGATGTTCCTCCACTACCTACTGACAGGAAGTTAAAAGTTTGTCTAGATTACCCACAATCCCCAGAACTGACAGACAGCAGGTTTGTAATGGTGGACACTGGTGAAGAGGCAGACATTCTCTGGACACGCCATAGCTTCAAAGAGTATTGGTATGTTAATATTTGAGTGTTACAGAACGTCTTGTTGACTGGATGAAAAATGACAACTGTGCCACAAATTCTAAATGAAAGTGCATTCTAGAAGACAGAATGATAAACATTATGCATTTTACTTCACAAAGATATGGCAGTAATTGATATATATGGCTTATATTATTATTATGCCCCCCTTCGAAGAAGAGGGGGTATATTGTTTTGCTAATGTCGGTCTGTCTGTCTGTCTGTCGGTCTGTCTGTCTGTCCGTCGGTCTGTCCGTCGGTAGACCACATGGTTTCCGCTGTTTATCTTGAAAAGAATTTATCACAAAGTCTTCATATTTCACACAGTGATTGGTCATTACTAGTAGATGACCCCTATTGATTTTGGGGTCACTAGGTCAAAGGTCAAGGTCATAGGGGCTTCAAATGTCAAAATGGTTTCCGCTGATTATCTTGAAAAGTATTTATCACAAAGTCTTCATATTTCACATAGTGATTGGTCATCACTAGTAGATGACCCCTATTGATTTTGAGGTCACTAGGTCAAAGGTCAAGGTCACAGGGACCTTAAAATGTCAAAATGGTTTCCGCTGATTATCTTGAAAAGGATTTATCACAAAGTTTTCATATTTCACATAGTGATTGGTCATAACTAGTAGATGACCCCTATCGATTTAGGGGTCACTAGGACAAAGGTCAAGGTCACAGGGACCTTAAATGTCAAAATGGTTTCCGCTGATTATCTTGAAAAGTGTGTATCACAAAGTCTTCATAGTTCACACAGTGATTGGTCATAACTACTAGATGACCCCTATTGATTTTGGGGTCACTAGGTCAATGGTCAAGGTCACAGGGGCCTTAAATGTCAAAATGGTTTCCGCTGATTTTCTTGAAAAGTCTGTATCACAAAGTCTTCATATTTCACACAGTGCTTGGTCATTACTACTAGATGACCCCTATTGATTTTAGGGTCACTAGGTCAAAGGTCAAAGTCACAGGGGCCTTAAATGTCAAAATGGTTTCCGCTGATTTTATTGAAAAGTCTGTATCACAAAGTCTTCATATTTCACATAGTGATTGGTCATCACTAGTAGATGACCCCTATTGATTTTGGGGTCACTAGGTCAAAGGTCAAGGTCACAGGGACCTTAAAATGTCAAAATGGTTTCCGCTGATTATCTTGAAAAGTATGTATCACAAAGTCTTCATATTTCACATAGTGATTAGTCATAACTAGTAGATGACCCCTATTGATTTTGGGGTCACTAAGTCAAAGGTCAAAGTCACAGGGGCCTTAAATGTCAAAAGGGTTTCCGCTGATTATCTTGAAAAGTATTCATCACAAAGTCTTCATATTTCACCTAGTTATTGGTCATAAGTAGTAGATGACCTCTATTGATTTAGGGGTCATTAGGTCAAAGGTCAATGTCACATGGGCCTTAAATGTCAAAATGGTTTCCGTTGATTTTTCCATAATTGAACACTTCCATGTACCCATTTTTGGCAAGTTTCTGTAATACAATTACCAATTATGTGAGTCAATGGCTAGAAAGGGGGTATATGTGTCGTTCGACATTCTTGTTGTATTTTGTTTTCCTTGTACTTAGCAGTGCTATGAGATTTAACAAAGGTTATTATTTGTATTTCAGTTCCCTTTATGGTGGAGGAACTTACAAATACATTAATCAGTTTCCTAGTGAACAGTGTTTAACAGTAAAAGATTTGTTACCAATTGTGTGCCGACGAGCAGGGAGTGGAAAGTTTGATGCCAAAACGCTGGAAGGTTCACCAAAATGGTTGCCAGTCTCATATAATCTGAATACTGAAATGGACAAATTTGTTTCCTACTTTCAACACCGAGAAGAAAAGTGAGAGTCTTTTCTTATTATATGATCATTCTGTATATTAACAACATTCAATGAGTTGTACATTTTAACTAGCTTACTTTTATTTTTAGCTTACCTGTCACAAAGTGACAGGGTGAGCTTTTGTGATCGCTTTTCGTCCGGCGTCCGTCCGTAAAATTTTGCTTCAAATGACACCTCCTCATAAACCACTAAGCCAATTTCATCCAAACTTCACAGAAATGTTCCTTTGGTGGTCACCTTTAAAAATTGTTCAAAGAATTTAATTCCATGCAGAACTCTGGTTGCCATGGCAACCGAAAGAAAAAACTTTAAATATCTTCTTTTAAAAACCCCAAAGAGCTAGAGCTTAGATATTTGGCATGAAACATCTTCTAGTAAGTTTTTACCAAGTTTGTTCAAATAAAAGCCCTGGGGTCAAAATTGGCCCCGCCCCAGGGGGTCATTGATTTTCCCCATATACATATAGTAAAAACTTAAAAATTCTTCTTTTAAAGAACCCATGGAGCTAGAGCTAAGATATTTAGCATGAAACATCATCTAGTAAATGTCTACCAAGTTTGTTCAAATAAAAGCCCTGGGGTCAAAATTGGCCCTGCCCCATGGGGTCATTGATTTTCCCTATATGCATATAGTAAAAACTTAAAAAATCTTCTTTTAAAGAACCCATAGAGCTAGAGCTAAGATATCGAGCATGAAACATCTTCTAATAAGTGTCTACCAAGTTTGTTCAAATAAAAGCCTTTGTTTCAAAATTGGCCCTGCCCCAGGGGGTCATTGATTTTCCCCATATGCATATAGTAAAAACTTAAAAAATCTTCTTTTAAAGAACCCAAAGAGCTAGAGCTAAGATATTTAGCATGAAACATGTTCTAATGGGTGTCTACAAAGTTTGTTCAAATAAAAGCCTTGGGGTCAAAATTGGCCCTGCCCCGGGGTCATTGATTTTCCCTATATGCATATAGTAAAAACTTAAAAAATCTTCTATTAAAGAACCCATAGAGCTAGAGCTAAGATATTAAGCATGAAACATGTTCTAATGGGTGTCTACAAAGTTTGTTCAAATAAAAGCCTTGGGGTCAAAATTGGCCCTGCCCCGGGGTCATTGATTTTCCCTATATGCATATAGTAAAAACTTAAAAAATCTTTTATTAAAGAACCCATAGAGCTAGAGCTAAGATATTTAGCATGAAACATCTTCTAATAAGTGTCTACCAAGTTTGTTCAAATAAAAGCCCTGGGGTCAAAATTGGCCCCGCCCCAGGGGGTCATTGATTTTCCCTATATGCATATAGTAAAAACTTAAAAAATCTTCTTTTAAAGAACCCATAGAGCTAGAGCTAAGATATTTAGCATGAAACATCTTCTAATAAGTGTCTACCAAGTTTGTTCAAATAAAAGCCCTGGGGTCAAAATTGGCCCCGCCCCAGGGGGTCATTGATTTTCCCTATATGCATATACAGTGGAACCTGTCTAATCCGAACTCGTCCGGACCTGAAGAAAAGTTCGAATTAGAAAGGTTTCCGGATTAGAAAGGTTTCCGAATTAGGAGGTTTTTTTACATGTATTTTTCATGTTATTTGCAAAATAGTTTAAGGAAAACGGGAAAGCATTTGAAATTGCAATTTAGATATTTTATTTTTGCAGTCTCTTATCGTTCATTATACTACATGTGAATACAAAAATAAAGAAATAGAAATAAATAAATAAGCAAAAATATTATGTCCTCAAGGGTAAGTTAACCTACGATGTTAAACAGGAGGCCGAGACATGATTTGATATTCGTACCAGCATTTGTCAGTTGTTGTTTGTAAACTCGTATCCGATTCAGCGACTATCCGAATTCACTGACAGTTTCCATTAATTTTCATTACTTAATCACGTATCATTGAATCCTATACAAAGGATTAAAAGATATTTCTATTGCATTATATCAAAATATTTATATAAGCTGACAATAAACAATCAATTAAGCAATTATAGAAGATAACAAGGCAAGCTAATTGTAATTTTCACACCTTCGCAGATCATACGTTTCACCCATTAATCAAGCGAAATAACACTTATCAGTTTGGTGTATGTTTACACCTGTAATATGTGCGATTATTTGTTATTTTGAATGAAGGTGTGATATTTGGCAAAATCTGTTCGGATCCGAGAGGTAAATTTTAGAGTAAAATAAGAACAAAAATTTAAAAAAATCGTCCGGAATTCGGAGTAGACAGGTTCCGGATCCGAAAGTTTTTTACTATTGAAAATAGAACGAATAAAATCGGGACCGGACACTTCGTTCGGATAAGAAAGGATTCTGGATTAGAAGGGTTCGGATTAGCAAGGCTCCACTGTAGTAAAAACTTAAAAAATCTGCTTTTAAAGAACCCAAAGAGCTAGACCTAAGATATTTAGCATTAAACATGTGCTAATGGGTGTCTACAAAGTTTGTTCAAGTAAAAGCCCACGGGTCAAAATTGGCCCGGCCCCGGGGGGTCATTGATTTTCCTTATATGTGTATGGCAAAAACTTAAAAATCTTCTTTGAAAAAACCCAAATAGCTAGAGTTTAGATATTAAGCATGAAACATCTTCTAGTAAGTGTCTACAAAGTTTGTTCAAATAACCACCCTAGGGCTAAAACTGGCCCCACCCCAGAGGTCCAATTGTTTTTAACTATATGTGTACAGCAAAATTTTTAAAAATCTTCTTTTAAAAATCCCAATGAGCTAGAGGTTAGATTGCAGGAAACATCTTTTTGTGGGTGTCTACCAAGTTTGTTCAAATAAAAGCCCTTGGGTTAAAATTGGCCCTGCCAAAGAGGGGGGGGGAGGTCATTGTTTTTCATTATATGTGTGAAGTAAAAACTTAACATCATGAAACATCTTCTAATGAGTGTCTTCCAAGTTTGTTTAAATAAAAGCCCTAGGGTTTAAACTAGCCCCGCTCCGGGGGCCTAAATACAGGTGAGCGACCTCAGGGCCATCATGGCCCTCTTGTTGAATTTGTAGCTTATTGGTGTGTTTCAGTAATAAAATGATGGTGTGTTTATGTGAGCATTGTACCAGTACATAATTTCCAGTAAAAATAATTCTACACTATATAACTTGTATGATGGTATCAAAAAGTGGTAGACAAATAGCCAAACCTAGGGACGGAACAATTTAATCTCATAACAAAAGTATTGGCCTATCTAAGCACACAGAAATTGATCCAAGCATTTTGGGTGATAGTACAAGTTACCATTTCTGCTTGTTGGGTGTAAATTGTTGTTGCAGTGAATAAATCAATTACTGTTACTATTACAGAGGTTTGGATAATGTGTGGATATTGAAGCCCTGGAATCTGTCAAACTCAGCTGACATTACAGTTAGTAATGATATCAACCAAATTGTACGCTTCTCTGAAAGTGGTCCAAAGGTGTGTTTTTATATGTAGTTAAATCATTGTGTCTACTTATCATTTTCCTTTGATTATTTATGTGTATGTGTTGATGACTTATATGCCTCCCATACTGCTTGCTTCTCATCTGTCTGTTCACCAACAACTGAGACTTTTGTACACAGCATACCTGTGAACTAATATTTCAAAATACCACCATTGGTCTTCAAGGTAATATCCAAATATGAGCACTGTAATTGCCCTGCCAACAGGCGTCTGTTAAAGGCAACAATAAAAGAAATTAATTTGTGTGTGTGTGGTGATGCAAATAATTGCTTATGTAACAGTAATATATAAACAAAATTTTTGTAGGTCTCACATGCAGATATGATTGTATTGTTATGTATGTATTATCCTATATTCAATCATGTACATGTTGATTATTTATAGATAGCATGTAAGTACATTTCGGACACAGTAACTATTTACAGAGAAGACATCAAGTCAGATGTGAAGGTGGACTTTCGTTTCCTTGTGTTTATGGCCAGTAAAAATCCACTAAAACTTTGGGTGTATAAACCATTTAGTGTCAGAAGAGGGCACAAGTATGTATAATTAACTGGCATTGTTTTTTGAAAATACATGTATTTGCTTAAAGGGACTCCACAGAGGTTTTTTACATGATGGGACTGGAAATAATTTAGAAGAATGTTCCATATGATTTAGGTTTAGACCAATAACTTGCATGCAAAATTTCGCTCTGTTTTTTTTTGAAAGTAATCATTCTAATTTTGAAAAGTACCCAAAATAGAATGCTTTTCATTTAAATTAGGCAAAAAATAGCACAAAAGTACAATTTTCAATTTACAACCGAGTATATTGTCCCAGTTGATCTATGTAAGAATTTCAAATTTTATGTTTTTAGGCTTTTGGGCCTCAGTGGAGTTCCTTTAATTTATTCGTTTTTTTTAAGTTGTCAAATATATAAAAGACAATATACTTTTTGTAAATATATTAAGTTTAAAATGTTGTTTGAAGTTTTTAAGTTGAAGACTATTGCTTTTACTATGTTTTGTAAGTGAAGGAAGGTGAGAATGCTAGAAAATTATAAACATTATTATTATTATTGACATCTTAACCTGCAGGAACATTGTTAGGTGGAATATCAAATTTCAAATTAACAAAGTCCCAAGGTACTGTTTAACTTAATTTTTAATTAGCTTGAAAATGTTTAGGTAGTGCATACTCAAAACTAGTAGGATTTTAATAAAATTTTTAACTTGTTTCGACATTGTCATGTGTTCCTCATATATTAATTACATGTAGTTATTTCTTTATAGTTGATATTTGTTTATAATGATGGTTTAATCATTATTTCAGACAGTATGAGCTTACTGACTTTGATGATTTCTTGAGGCATTTGACATATGTTGGTCTTTATGAATATAACGTATACAGACCTGGTGTAAGTATTTCTATTTTCCATATTTACTTGCATATTTTTGTCTCAGAATTGGACACTAAAAACCTTGAGATGAAGTATGTTCTTACAATTTAATAATAGATAATAAATGTTCAGTAATTGTTTATAAACACGCGATTACATCACACTGGATTAACTAGGATTTTGATAAAGAAACATTTCTTCCATTTGCCATTACAAGAGTGTCTGACTTTAATAATTTGATTTTTCCTTAATCTAGGTCATAAAATGTTGACTATGTTATTATATTTTTTGAGTCATGTTTGTATATTTGTATGTTGATGACAATTGTTTATTTGTACATATGGACAGATGTATACAGAACAGTTTATAGAACCGTTTGAAGCTGAAAATCCAGGATTTAAATGGGAAACTATAGAGGTATATTTTTATTTTTATCTGAATAAAAGAACTGATCATTTAAAATATCTTATTATACCCCCACCACAAAATGTGGGGGGGGCTATAATGGATTTGCTTTGTTGCATTGGTCGGTCGGTCCGTCTCCATTTTCATGTCCGCTCTATAACTCCTATACCAATTGAAGGATTTTCTTCAAACTTGGCTCAAATGTTCACCTCAACAAGGGGATGTGCAGAACCCATATTGCCCATGTGTCAGCTCAAGGTCAAGGTCACAATTGAAGGTCAAATATCAAACACTATCAAATATTACTCAGTATGTTGTGTCCGCTCTGTAAGTCCTACACTACTTGAAAGATTTTCTTCAAACTTGGCTCAAATGTTCACCTCAACCAGGGGATGTGCACAACCCATGTCGCCTATGTGTCAGCTCAAGGTCAAGGTCACAATTGTAGGCCAAATACCAAACAATTAAATATTACACAGTATGTCGTGTCCACTCTGTAAGTCCTACACTACTTGAAAGTTTTTCTTCAAACTTGGCTCAAACGTCACCTCAACAAGGGGATGTGCAGAACCCATGTTGCCCATGTGCCAGCTCAAGGTCAAGGTCACACTCGAAGGTCAAATATCAAACAATCAAATATTACTTAGTATGTTGTGTCCGCTCTGTAAGTCCTACACTAATTGAAAGATTTTCTTCATACTTGGCTCAAATAATTACCTCAACATGGGGATGTGCAGAATCCATGCTACCCATGTGTCAGCTCAAGGTCAAGGTCACAATTGAAGGTCAAATATCAAACAATCTAATATTACACGGTATGTCATGTCCGCTCTGTAAGTCCTACACTAATTGAAATATTTTCTTCAATCTTGGCTCAAATGTTCATCTCAACTAGGAGATGTGCAGAACTTATGTCACTCATTTGCTGGTTAAAGGTCAAGGTCACACTTAAAGGTCAATAATTGACTTAGAAAATATTCTTAAATTTTAACATTTATTTGAATATTTCTAAATCTAGAAAAGGTATTTGCTTGAAACTTAAAATATTTTTGAAGGGTCACAATTCTGATATGCTGTTTGTTCAAGTTTCATAACTCTGTATCGCATTTTACCAAAGTTATGCCCCTTTTTAAGTCTTCAAATTTACATACAATCAAATATTAGACAATATGTTGTGTCTGCTCTATAAATCCTATACTAATGGAAGAATTTTCTTCAAACTTTACTCAAATGTTCACCCCAACAAGGTTATGTGTAGAATCCATGTCACCTTTGTGCCGGCTAAAGGTCAAGGTCACACTTGAAAGTCAAAAATTGACTTAGAAAATGTTCTTAAATTTTAACATGTACTGGAATAATTCTGAAACTAGCACAGGCATTTGCTTGAAACTTAAAAGATATATGAGGTGTGGCAAATAAGATATGCGGGTCAAGTTTCATTACTCTGTATTGCATTTTGACAAAGTTATGCCCCTTTTTAAGTCTTCAAATTTACATACAACCAATACTAGACAATATATTGTGTCTACTCTATAAATTCTATACTAATGGAAGGATTTTCTTCAAACTTACTCAAATGTTCAACCAAACTGGGTGATGTGCAAAACCCATCTTACCCTTGTGCCAGATTAAGGTCAAGGCCACACTTGAAGGTCAAAATTGACTTATAAATAAAATGTTTAATACATTGGGAAAATGAAAGGTTATTTGTAACTGTTTTGAACATGATTTGATAATATATATTTATACTATTACCTGTACAATTAGTCTTTTTTTCACCAGAGATAATTTCTTTTTATGTATTTGTGCCACATAAGTTATTCCCTTAACCACCTTTCCAAGTGGTCTTCTGTCAAGGACATTGGTGGGGGTATGAATCGCATTCAGCGATAGTTCTAGTTGTTTGATGTTGTGTGTTGAAAGCAGCATACCTCCAGATTTATGCTCATTTTCATTGAAATTTTGAAAATGTATTAAAAGTTAAATACATGTATTGTTAAGTGAACAAAGAAAGTAATTAAGACATTGCAAACATCACTCATAACCCCAATTACCAAAAAAGAAGGTTAAAATATGCAAAATAGCCCTTACTGCATTTTGGTAAATATACCAAAATCACTTATTAATTGCATATAATATGTAAATTATTACTTGAAACTTTTTTACTTTCCTTAATATCTCAGAACATTTTTCTCTAGTTTGATTATCTTGAAATATTTTGGCTCAACTGAAGGCATGCAGCTTTAATAGATAATTTGACAGCCAATTGGCACCTGTGTCACTTTTTTTTCCCAACCAAACAGGCCATTTCTGAGACATACTTGCTATGTTAATTACAGGCCAAAAGATAACCTAGGATATTGTTTAACATTTGAAGATAACATAAAAGTATTACAAAGGAATGGTTTTATTTGTTATTTAAGGCTGAAATACACAAGATGTTTCTGGAAGTATTCCAGGCAGCAACCAGTAAAGATCCCCCAGCAGGGATTGGACATTTTCCCCTCTCTAGGGCTGTTTATGGTATTGATTTACTGTTACAGTGGAGCACAAATGAAAAAGGTAAATTAAATGTTTTATTTATGCTAATGGGGTTTTATTCAGATGAACTCTGCGTCTTGGTCTCTGGTCAATGAAACTTGGTGTACAGCAAGCTTATGTAGAGACTTGCTTTGGATTGTATTTGGGTCCCCTACAGTCAAAGACACTGTAATACTAAAAATAAAAAAATAATCTGTTTCCCGTTTGAATAAGATATATCATTCCAACCTTATATGAAAACCATCTGCTGTAATTACAAAATGCTTGCTTATTTTCTTTTGTTTCTTCATTATTTATGATTTACATTGCACATAGTTACATTGTACATTGCTTTAGAAAGAAATCACAAACAAAATTATACATGTAGGTGTATTTTCACTCTTATTACACTACATGTATATCTTAAATGGACTTGTCCATCTTACATTCTGGACATAACCGTTTATTATGTTTAGTGCAAATTTCAAAATATCTGACTGAACAGCAAACAGTTTAGACCATGATCAGACGGCAAAGATGTGAATTCAGTTCCAGCCAGCAGGGTAAGGGTTAACATCAATGCTACATGATTTATATACTATATATATAACATGTAGTTATAATGAAATCAGATAACCCTTTTCCTCTTAATCTTGTAGGGGAGAAGTATGTACAGCCGATGTTGAGTGAGGTTAACTTTGCCTGTGATTACACAAGCTGGATGGAAGAGTACCCAGAAATGTTAAATGATGCATTCAGTACATTATTCTTCAATGATATCAAGGGCCGGGAAGATAGAGTCATACCATTGTCATGACACAATATGTAAACCAGAAAAACAATTACATGCAGGTGGACAAAATATCATGGAAGCAAGATATTTTCCAAAAGCACATGTCAAATAGTAAATAGCCTGGAGCTTGAAAATGTTTTAGTGAGAAAATATTAATTACTAAATGAATATTATTACTCATTGAATATTTTTTCATTAAACTGCAATAAGAACAGGTTTTAACGTTTTTAAGTTCGACTATTCGAACAATAGTTGGGCTAAACTACTTACCCAGTTATACATGCAACTTCTTTTACAATATCATATGTAAGCAAATATTAATAATACATGTACTTTCTTGCCTTGTTTTAATAACACATTCAATATTTTATTTTTTCAATTTAATAGTTATACAATAAAATTTGTGTTAAATCATCTTATTTTACATTACTGTATAAATAATTAAACTATTAATTGTTAACATATGTTATTTCACCGTAATAAGACAGACACCTGTCTAATCATTTAATTTTACTGTAATAACAACAAAGTAATTTGTTAAGATATTTTTATTTCATTAATGATAAAATTGTTTTGAAAATAGATTTTAACAAATTGTCAATTGTTTTATTACATTGCATGGTATGCAGAAGACAGCTAATACACATTTATATAATGTGCCAAAAAAGTTTTGAAAAAAAAAAACAACAACACATCTACATTAGATGGTACCTGTAAATACAGGTACAAACAAGATGCAAAACTGAAACTAGGGCTGTCATTGAATATCGCAATATAGATATATTGTCAATATTCTTCATCCGATACAATATCGATACAAGCTAAAATTCATTTCCGTTAGTAAATATACCTCTATTTTGCCTAATTAGAGAAGTAACTTTTTTCCAGTTTTCTGGGCTTACTTGGAAAATGTCAGTGACAAAAATAACAGAAAAAACAAACTTTTTGTTAGTTTGTAGTATTTGTAATGTCTAATACAAGCATGCACAACACAATGATCCAAATTTATAACACATATTTCAATGTTTTTCATTGAATCTATGTTCAAAGTTAATACATGATGTCATCAATATATCATTGATATTTGTCTCTGGATATATTGATACAAAATTTTTCATCAATGACAGCCCTGCTAAAAACAATATATAATTTTAAGGTTAAAGAGACCTTGAACTTTTACCAGTCCAATGCTTATACAAGTTTCGTAAATACCAATTACCTAAGATTCTTAATAATAGATGGTTTCAAATGAAAAAGTATGAAACCCTTTTGCATCCTAGGTAACCTCGATTCCTATGAAAGATGCAATATTAAGTAAACATTAAAACAAACAAGAGCCAAGTCTGAACATGATCAAACATTAAATAAATTTATAATAAATTTTAAAATATGACCTTGATGGGCAAGTTGGAAGTCCTGGAGAATTCAGGAAAATCAATAGTTCTAATACAAAGTTATAAATGACTGTATATGAATGTACTTGCACAATAAAGACATCTAAAATAACTGAGTTTGTTTTATCTTAATTTGATGGTATTGACGCAAGTAATTATTTCCGTTTCTAGATAGTTTTCTTGTAAAATCAAGATTTAAAAACTTGTCTTGCACACAAAAATATATATAAATTATCAAGAGGATCTTGGCAAAACTCTCAACTTTTTAACTGTCGTAATAATTTGTTTTTCAGTCACAAGGTTTTTTGGTGACTTTCCATCTTATCTGGTGCAGGAAAACTTCTGATAAAACTACAGACCTTGTGTAATGTAGCAGGGTAGCAGGATAGTTTTCTCACATAGATATAAAAATAAGTCCCTGACAAGATTCCTACTCACAATGGTGTGAGAGACAAGTCTTTGAAGTGTCCATGTAACAAATATTTAATTTTATTAATGAGTTTGCATATTTCATTAAAAAAAATAATGAGTCCCATATCTTGGTACATATTTGATCTTTCTTAAATAATTTATTCCTCAACATCATTTTATTTACTGAGATTAATGTGTGTTGCCAGAGGGACTTCAAAATTGCTGGCTCTAAAGCAAAAGATTTAATTTACATTGTATATTTTCTACAGAATTTTCCATCTTCAAGTGTCTGATTCTTCTACAGTTTTCTTTGACTTTTTAGGGCTGGTACCTGGTTCATTATTGCCTTTATTTTGTCTTTTTAATCCCTTCATTTTTCTTGTCTGTAGGTTTGCCAAGTCTTGTTTCTGCATATGTATTCTACCAAGCTGGGAACCAAATGCATCCTGGGATATGTTCTTCCTCTTCTTCACCTGAAAAATAAGTTTACAATATTACCCTTGACATGTTCACTTCTGTATTTGAAATTTAATTGAATGTATATCAATATGAAAAAGCTTAAGAAGAGATTATTTCATGTCTTGGTCCATTGTGACAAAAGAGAACTGTACTTTATCATTCATTTCTTGAAGTAGAATCTACTAAGGTTATGGTATCAGTAAAATACTATAAATTAGGCCTTTTTTATTGCAAATCTATGAGAACAACATTACTGTAAAGATCATTTTACAACAGTATAGCCATTTATAGAAATTTCAAGAGAAATGACAATATGGATGAAACTTAATAGAATATTTGACTGGTATACATTAATTTTTCCTTCGTATGTATGCAAAATGTAACATCTCAGGAATTTAAATGCAGTTGTACTAAATAACTTTATTAACAGTCATACTGATCACATTTTGCATATTCTATTCAGTATTATCATTACATTGGCTAATTGTTTTCCCCCTTCAGCTTTCTGAACATTTATGATGTATTATCTGCACCCTGTACAGAGTCTGTTCATTCTGTCTATTTTATCAAAGTATCTACTTGTACATTAAAATATCATAAAGAATAATAAAAATATACAGAGAAAAGGTTTATATCTTACAGTAGCTGTTTTTGGTTTTCTCAAGCTTCTCTTGTATAAATCATCTGAGGCAATCTTAGTTCTCCTTAATGTCAGGTCTATAGAAGGTCCCATATCTTCTAGTTCTATACGAGGTACTTTACTACCAGACTTCTTTAATATAATTCTGAAGTAACAGATAATATAGAACAATTATATAGTCAAATCTGACACACACAAAACACTTTTACATACATACATGTACATTGAAAGCCTATAACTAAATGTCATCATTTAACTTACCCACAAGATAACCTATAGCTCACAAAGATTTGTTTCCAAAGTGCAGTCATCCAGAAACACAAGTTTTCTCAGCAGTCTAGGATCTTTATTAACCAGTTTGCTTTGAGCACAGGAATTTTCCTTATATACTAATAAACTAGAAATGTGTCTTCATGCCACGGATGCCCCCGCATGCAACCAAAATTTCAGATGTTATAATATTTAGTTTCAAATTTGTTTGCACAAATTATTTCTTTCATTTTAAGTTCAAAGCCCTTAAAACTTTACAATGTTAACACAAACCATTTTCATACAATGTTCAAGGCACTGAAATTATTCAGTCTTAACCTTTTGAAAATAGCATATTGCATATTTGTACCCAAAATAATGGCTACATACATTTCCACAAAAGTATGAGTGCTGAAACTGAAAGTTCAAAAATTTTCCAACATTCAGGAAAGATAAGTTTGTCCAAAATCATTGAACCACGACCATATTCAAACTTAAACTGCTTATTCCTAAGATGTATCTACATTATTTTCAAAGTGAAAGGGACATAACTCTGCCAAAAAATCATCAAACCATGACCAAATTCCAACTTGACCTGCCCATTCATTTGACAAATTTGAGTTGAATATGTAATACTGTTGGGTAGATAATGAACAGAAACTGTAAATTTCATATTATTTTCAAAGTGAAAGGGGCATAACTCTGCCAAAAATCATTGAACCATGACCAAATTTGAACTTGACCTGCGCATTCCTTTGACGTATCCATATGTCAAGTTTGAGTTGAATGTGTTGTACCATTGGGGAGATAATGAATGGAAACTGAAAATTTCATATTGTTTTCAAAGTAAAAGATGCATAACTCTGCCAAAAATTTTCGAACCATGACCAAATTCGAACTTGACCTGTATTTTCTCATGACATATCCATATGTCAAGTTTGAGTTGAATGTGTTGTACCGTAGGGGAGATAATGAACGGAAACTGAAAATTTCTAGTAATTTTCATAGTAAAAGGGGCATAACTCTGCCAAAAATCATTGAACCATGACCAAATTCAAACTTGACCTGCGCATTCCTTAGACGCATCCATATGTCAAGTTTGAGTTGAATGTGTTGTACCATTGGGGAGATAATGAACAGAAACTTAAAATTATAATATTATTTTCAATGTAAAAGGGGCATAACTCTGCCAAAAATCATCGAACCATGACCAAATTCGAACTTGACCTGTATTTTCTCATGACATATCCATAAATTTGAGTTGAATGTGTGCAACCGTTTTTAAGATAATGAACGTAAACTGATGATGACAGAATGACGGAATTTACATGGCGGGGGCATAATAAAATTATATATGAAAATTAATTTGTTTTTCTATACAAAAGTCATAAATGTATTGTTTTAGTAGTTTTATAAAAGATCTCATACATAGACTTGTCGTATATCTATATATATTGGCTCGACTTCCATGTTACCAAGTGTATCTGATAACAAACATTTTCAGTTGTGTTGGATATAAAATCACAAATACACTTTTAAGGTCATACAGAACTTCCCAAATTTTACTGGTAAAGGAGCTTGTTATTTCAGACAAGGGGATCTTCTACATGACACCACACAGGTACTACAAGTAAGTATAGTATCCTAATATAGTCATTAAACATTCTAGTTGATATACAAACCAACAGAAGTCAATGACCTTGACCACCTTACCAAACATGCTACATATACAGATAGCTTACCTGTAGTTTCTGATATAGATTTTTCCATCTATTGCAGATATCATTATAACATGCTCTATACCTTGTAACCTTATCTGTTTTATAATAGAGCCTCGGAAAAAATCTGAAACAATATATTTAAAGTTTATTTTTCATAAGGTCACTAATACGCTATCAAAAATAATTAAAATATAGTTTTGTTAATTTTAATACTTCAAAAGAGAGCATAAAATGTTACTGTGAAGGTGCTGTTATCTAAAATGAAGATATATAATAAATGTAGGATATAAAGTGGATACTCTTGTCTGAAATGAAATTAAAATGAAAATTTATTGAAACTAGAAATGTGTCATCATGCCACGGATGCCCCCGCATGCAGCCAAAATTTCAGATGGTGCATTAATTATTTTTTTCATTTTAAGTTCAAAGCCCTTAAAACTTTTCAATGTTAACACAAACCATTTCCATACAATGTTCAAGGCACTGAAATTATTCAGTCTTAACCTTTTAGAAATAGCATATTGCATATTTGCAGCCAAAATAATGGCTAAAAGAATGAGTGGTGAAACTGAAAGTTCAAAATTTTTCCAACATTCAGGAAAGATAAGTTTGTCTAAAATCATTGAACCATGACCAAATTCAAACTTAAACTGCTTATTCCTAAGATGTATCTATATTATTTTCAAAGTGAAAGAGACAAACTCTGCCAAAAAATCATCAAACCATGACCAAATTCCAACTTGACCTGCCCATTCCTTTGACATATCCATATGTCAAATTAAAGTTGAATATGTGACACTGTTGGGTAGATAATGAACAGAAACTGTAAATTTCATATTATTTTCAAAGTGAAAGGGGCATTACTCTGCCAAAAATCATTGAACCATGACCAAATTTGAAGTTGACCTGAGCATTCCAAAAACATTTCCATATGTCAAATTTGAGTTGAATGTGTTGTACCATTGGGAAGATAATAAACGGAAACTGAAAATTTCATATTACTTTCAAAGTGAAAGGGGCATAACTCTGCCAAAAATCATTGAACCATGACCAAATTTGAACTTGACCTGCGCATTCCTTTGACGCATCCATATGTCACGTTTGAGTTGAATGTGTTGTACCTTGAGGGAGATAATGAATGGAAACTGAAAATTTCATATTATTTTCAAAGTAAAAGGGGCATAACTCTGCCAAAAATCATCGAACCATGACCAAATTCGAACTTGACCTGTATTTTTTCATGACATATCAATATGTCAAGTTTGAGTTGATTGTGTTGTACCATTGGGGAGATAATGAACGGAAACTGAAAATTTCATATTTTTTTCAAAGTAAAAGGGGCATAACTCTGCCAAAAATCATTGAACCATAACCAAATTCGAACTTGACCTGTATTTTCTCATGACATATCCATATGTCAAGTTTGAATTGAATGTGTCCAACCGTTCTTAAGATAATGAACGGAAACTGAAATTTCATATTATTTTTAAAGTAAAAGGGGCATAACTCTGCCAAAAATCATCGAACCATGACCAAATTCGAACTTGACCTGTATTTTCTCATGACATATCCATATGTCAAATTTGAGTTGAATATGCCCAACCGTTCTTAAGATAATGAACGGAAACTGATGATGACGGAATGACAGAATGACGGAAGGACGGAAGGATGGAAGGACGGAAGGACGGAAGGACGGAATGACGGAACAGGGTAACACTATATGCCCCGGCCATTACATGGCGGGGGCATAAATATGCATGATCTTGATATGCTGAATATATGAAACAAAATCTAGCCAGAAAGGAAAACATTCATGATTTGTTGCAGTCGACAACATTTAACCACAATGGACTCCTGTTAGGGCAACCTGTGGACACCAAATAGGAAAGTGCCAACACCAAGGCAGGAAAATAGATTTGAGGGAAAATTATTGTTTAAAAAACAAGTGACATCACAAGTTTTGTTTACACTGACTGTTAACATCAAGTCTCTATAACCATAGCAAAAGTGATTTATTTTGCAAAATAATTTTTCAAGCAGCAAGTACCAGTTGTCGCAGACAAATTTGATGAAAAATTTTACCTGCAAAAAGATTTTTTAATCTAGAGTAATCAGGATCTGTATCAAACTGTTCCCCAGCAAACATAATGCATGGCTTGGTTCCTATTGGGCACTTTGGTCCCTAAAAATTTTTATAACAGCTCATAGTTATAGTATAAAAATCTTCCAGAAAGAAAAGCAAATAAATCTGTATTCATTCTTTTTTCATTTTCGATTTTTATCCACATTTAATTCAGGTAGTGTGTTGAAGATATCCACTAGTCATATTATGCTAGTCTTTTTACAATTTTAACTTCACAGAAAAGAAAAAAAGACAGTCAACATATATGAGCTGCATCACTAAAAGAAAGAGAGAAAGTTTGTTTTTCAATCTAAATGGTACCTGAATTAAAGTTTAAAATATATTTTCATAATAATTATATACAATAATAATGCAATAGTAATGGTTATTTTAATTTAACATTGTCACCTTAATGAAACATATCAACTTACTTGGGTAAGGTCAGTTTGCCTGGCCCTATACTGGAGCCATGGTAAAGTCATTATTGCCACAAAATATAAGTGTTCAAAATGTTTCACAATGATCTTACCTCTATATCAAACATTGATTTGAAACCTTCTACTCCAAGTTCTATCATGTCCAGAACATGATAGTCAAACATTCGACCTGTCAATAGCATAACAACAAATCTATTATATACAATTAATCCAAGACTTAATTAACATCTATTTAACAATTTCATCATTATTGGGTATGGTATATTTATATTATAGCCTTTAATTCCCTTGTAAACATTATCCATGTCTTCATGTGTAATGTAAATGTATAGTTAAACAGAAGGCATGTAAGGTAGCTCATTAATTTTGTACTCCTAATTTTTGTATGTATAGAGCAAGTATAGAGCAAGGTAACAATCAAATGTTAATAATTTGTATATACGAGGGGTGTCCCAGAATTACGTGGACTTTTGCTATAACTTTTTTTTTTTTAATGCATTTTTTAGCAAATTTGTACACAATACCTTTAACATATCCTTAATGAATATGTCCATTATTTTTAAATTTCTAACATTGCTTCTCTATATTTTACGTCGCTATAGTAACGCAGTATGAGCAGGGCAGGGCAGTCCAATATTTTGTATTAATAAGTTGTTTTTACTTTCGTATATCTTGCGTATTTATACGTAAAAAATGGTGCGACATCGTAAGCATATGCAGTGATGTCATATGAACGTTCGTTTGAAATTTTGACGTCATAGCTGTTTCCGCTATTGTTTACCAGCGGACAACTGACAACCGTTGCTCTTGGATTTTTAACAAAAAATGACGTCCACGGATTACGCGGAACATCGGACTATCATCAAGTTTTGTCTTAATCTTGGGGAGACGCCAAAACAGACGCAGGAAATGTTGGAGACTGCAAAAGTGAGACTTCCTGTTTGTCGATCACTCGTTTTCAAGTGGCATAAGCGTTTTCGAGACGGCAGGGAGGACATTGAAGACGACAAGGGTCGTGGGAGAAAGTCAACGTTGACTGCGGCGTCAATTAAGGAAGTCAAAGACGTCATAGATCGGGACAGGCGTTACACTGTGCGGGACGTGTGCGACATCACGGGTTTGGGAAGAGGAACTTTCCACCGCATACTAACTACCCACCTGAACATGAAGAAACTTAGCTCTCACTGGGTACCACGGCTCCTCACGCCAGAACTTCAAGAAAAACGCGTAGCGGCATCGCGCAACTTCCTGGCCCAATACCGGAAAGATGGATACAGTTTCCTGAACCGATCGTCACGACGGATGAGATGTGGCTCTTCCTTTTTGATCCCGAGACGAAGGAGCAGTCCCGCCAGTGGAAGTCCAGCGGATCTCCACCCCCACAGAAGGCACGACAGGCGAGATCCGTTGGCAAACAGATGTACATATTCTTCATGGACAGGGCCAGCATGATATACAGCACGCAATACCCATAGACACCAAGGTCAATGCTGAGTACTATTCAAGGGTAAGCAATAATTTTGTGTTTAAACAAGAGCCACTGCCGGGCGGGGGCAACGCTCGACTTTTAACTTTCTCTAAAAGCAAACAAAGAAATGTTTTAACAAAATCTTAACGTTTCCTTTTTATAAAATTAATCGGTCTGTCTTATCACATAAGTTTTGTCTATATATTTTGTATATATAAATAAACTAAATTATATATATATATAAATAGAAACACGCAATTCTATAAATAGAAAATTCTATAAATAGAAACACGCAATTCTATAAATAGAAAATTCTATAAATAGATACACGTGGTAGAGTCACATGGTGGAGTCACGTTGTAAAGCCACATGGAGTCATGTGGTGGAGTCATGTGGTAGAGTCACGTGTTAGAGTCAAGTGGAAGAGTCACGTGGTAGAGTCATGTAGTGGAGTCATGTAGTGGAGTCACGTGGTGAAGTCATGTGGTGGAGTCATGTGGTGGAGTCATGTGGTGAAGTCACGTCGTGGAGTCACGTCGTGGCGGAGTCACGTGGTGGAGTCATGTGGTGAAGTCACGTGGTGGAGTCACGTGGTAAAGTCACAACAAGGTCTTGTCCTAAAGTATGTTCTGTTATAATATGAAGTTGATCCCTTCAATAATAGCAAAGTTACAGCCAGTTACAGCCAAAACAATGAAAATTTCAATAATTTGAACTTCAAAGTCAAGGTCATTAATAAGTGAAGGTCAAGGTCTGTCTGGTTATTTTTAAGGGTTATCCTTGAAGATTATTATGTTCAAGTTTGAAGACAATCCATTCAAAAATAACAAAGTTACAGCCAATAATAGCCAAAAAAATGAAAATTTCAAAAATTTGACCTTCAAAGTCAAGGTCATTTATGAGTGAAGGTCCAGGTCTGTCTGGTTATTTTTAAGGGATATCCTTGAAGATTATTATGTTCAAGTTTGAATACAATCCATTCAAAAATAACAAAGTTACAGCCAATAACAGCATGAACAAGCAAAATTTGGACTTTTAACCTTGAAGGACAAGGTCATTTATGGATGAAGGTAAAGGTTAGTGTAGTCTACTGAAGGTCTTGTCCCAAGGGTTGTTGTGGCCAAGTATGAAGACAATACACCAAGAAATAAAAAAGCTATGATCCAGGTACAAGTTTGCGAACGGCAACGCCGCCGTGACTATAACAATACCTCTACTTTTTTTTCAAAAAAAAAAAAAGTCAAGCTAAAAAAATATTTTTAAAAATTAAGCTAATCACAATTTATTATTTTAAACGCAATTTATCCGCCTCAGCTTTTAAGAAAGTGAACTCAAACTGCTATAGTAAGCAGTGCGCATGATAGGTTATTTCCCTTGTTAACGCACATTGTCTTTGCGTACAAAATAAACTCCACAATAATAATAATAATAAAAAGAATAATAATAATGATAAATAATAATAATGATAATAATAATAATAATAGGGCATCAGCATTATCACCGTCGTTTTACCTACTATTACCGTAACAAAAGTTAATAGTATGCTTTATTATTATTATTTATCATTATTATTTTTATTATTATTATTATTATCATTATTTGCGGATTAAGTATATGTACAATATCGCTTACTTAGTAGATAAATTGTCTATTTGTCAGGTGTTACGGCGAGATCTTGTGCGTTCCTTGCGTCGGAAGCGGCCGAACGTTCCCTTGGATCAGGTGTTGCTGCACCAGGATAACGCGCCAAGCCATAACGCAGCATCCACCAGGCTGGAGATCAGTCTTCTGGATTTTCAGATTCTGGAGCATGCACCCTACTTGCCGGATATGGCGCCGATGGACTTCCGGGTATTTCCAACTGTGAAGTCGGCACTTAAGGGACGGAAGTTCGATTCCTTCCAGGAACTCTCGTTCGCAACGCAGAAAGTGGTGGCTGATTTCGACCAGGAGTGGTACAGGGCAGTGTACGACCAGTGGATATATCGACACCATAGGTGTATTGAGTTAGGCGGCGACTATGTTGAGAAAAACTGACATTCGACGCCACGCATTTATTAACAACTAGCGACGTCACCGGAATGACGTCGCAACGTCGGAATGGACTGCCCCGCACCCGCTACCCCTTGTCTCATTACCCTGCCCACAGACACTGATCCAGTTGCCAAACAACTTTGAAATTTTTTGTACTAATGCAATAAAGTTGCATTTTGTTCATGTTAATTTTGTTTGTTTTTATTTTCAGCAGTTTTTGAGTTACAGCAAAAGTCCACGTAATTCTGGGACACCCCTCGTATTTATAGAACAATAAAAGAATTTGAAAGTATTTATAGTGCAAAATCACAATCTTAAGTATTTAAAGAGACAGGTCACAATATTTTTACATTAATGATCATACTGCTGCTTTAACAGTTTTTTTAATTTTAATGCTTAATGCAAGTTTTTTTCTCTCAATTATTGAGAGTCAAAATAAACAATGTTTAGTATACCTATAATAATATTGTTTGGTCTTTTCTTTGAATGGCTTCCAAACATGAACAATGATGCATCACACCTCTGAGAGAAAAATTCCTACAAACAAAAGTTTACAATTCATGAGCTTCAAATTATATAAATGTATTACCATTCCAAAACAGTATTTTAATTGCTACATTTTTGGTTATAATAGACAAATATTGATTGACTTCTTAACCTCAATGTATTATTCTTCCAAATATGTGTTAAGTTATAAAAGCACTAACATTTCTAAATCTAAGTGTAAAGGACCTTCTGATAAAACAACTAATTAACCCTGTTACACTTTCCCCTTGGTTGCCTTTGTTGACAAGTCTGACTGTATCCTGAATCTCCCGATTTTAATTAAGAAACAGTCTATGATTGATGTAAAATGAAACAGTCAATGAAAATTTATAAAATAGGAAGCCAACACTATGAAACATGGTCTGCCTTAATGAATGCAGGCCTGACTAGTGGTGAAAAAGTCGTTGTCATTTCATTCTAACCTGCATTAAACAATATGCTAACTGTAATTCAAGTTTTAAGTCTGTAAATAGTGCTGTTAGCATCCTAAATAAAGTATTTTGTTTTTGAAACCAACTATGGATAGTTGGATACCATTAGTTGTTGATACTTACCAATGGTGTCTCATCTTCAAAGGGTCTAAGGATATTTTTTCTAAAAATAAAAAAAAGAATTATCACTTTTAAAGGTAGGACTATGGTACTAAAGATTTGTTACAGCAGAATTTATGTTTACAAAAAACTTAATTAATTTTGACTATTTGTAGACTTTAAATGACAATGACACTGTCAACTTTATTTACCTAAATACATGTAGTGACATGGGAGAACCACAAGTTATCCATGAAGTCTGCTGAAAATATGCCCCTTACTGGAATTTTTGTTACAATAGTGATAGTATGTGACTTCAAACAAGAAACTATAACCACTTAGTATTCAATGCCCTGTTAAAGGGACTCCACTGAGGTTTAAAAGTCTAAAAACATAACATTTGAATTTCTTATATAAATGAGCTGGGGCACTTTCAACAGTAATATATGCAAAGATAGTTAAGAAATATACTTTGAAATAAATTCAAAATCGTATTTTCATGCTTTTCTTAGCCTAATTTGGGTGAAAAGCGTTTAAACGCTTTTCAGTTTGGGTCAGTTTTTTACAATTTGAATAATTATTCTGGAAAAACGGCATGCGCGAATGATCTGAAATTTTGCACAAAGATTAGTGGTATAAACCTACATCAAATGGTACAATTATCTGGAAAAAATATTTTCAGTTCCATCATGTCAAAAAAACGCAGTGGAGTCCCTTTAAGCTGACATGAAAAGGGAAAATTTGTATAATATTATTTGGAATTACAATCAAACAAAAAGGCCTTAAAGCAGTAACAACTAAACATGGCAGAAAAAGTAGAACAGAGAGCTGATTGATGAACACAGAAATATTGAGGTGCTCTAACAGACAATGATATCAAGTTGTTCTTCAAACATTCCAGGTTTCTGTAGTTTTCAGAGCAACAGATAAGGTACGTATTTGCGTATTTACGCAATTAATTTTATAAAATACGCAATTGATTTTTTAAGAATGTGTATCAAAACCCATTAAAAAAAATAAAATACGCAATTGTCTAAAAAAACCTGTGCGTATTGTCATTTTCATCACCGCAAAATTAATCTGTTGTATGCTCGTAGTTTTGGACAAATTATATCGATATGCATGTTATCCGAATATTCCCAAATTAATGCTAACTAATCAACGGTCTGCGGTCTTCGAAAGTCCCCGGTCTCCAAAGACCAACTTAGCCATATCAATAAAACATGAGACCGTCGATTTGTCTACTCAGGCCGACGGTCTTTACAGATCGGCAGAGACCATTGATTTTGCGGAGACCGTCATTAAGTAGGTCCCAGCTGTATCAATAGACGCTTTGAAAACATTATGGCGTCATACAAAAGGGAAAATGATTTGAAACAAAACAGTCGTAAATAATCAAAAAACAGTCAGAAAACAAACTTTTCAAAAATATTATCAAATATAACATGAGCATTTTATATAAAAAATAAAACAATTGTGAAAAGTTCTAGTAAATTGTTAATCCTATTTTCTTTTTAAAACAGTTTAAATTTTATTGATATTGAAACCATAAAATTCATATCTTCATAATTGAATACCCAATTGATCTTGAAATCATAGGGTATTGAGTTTTGGAATACCCAATTAAATGGAGCCAATACCCAATTCCAAAGGAAATGATGGAGTAATACCCAATTCACTTTAAAAGCTTATCTGTTGCTCTGGTTTTCTTGTGTTTTGTTATTTCATGGCTAGTCCAACAAATTGTGCCCTATAGACAATGGTCACACTTCTATGTAATATCAGATTGTACAATCAGTTGGTCTTGCAGTCAAAATATTGAGGCTTAGTTTATATATTCCATGACTTGGCATAATGGACAATCTACAGAACCCTAAGAATAATTACTGTTAATTACCTTTTATACATGACAGAATCTATCTTTTTCAATGTATACTGAAAAGAAAAATAACAATGAAAATTATTTTAACAAATTAAGTATATAAGAAGCCTTAATCATTAGGTCTACAGTCTTCTTTCAAGTCATGTCAATCATTTAAAACAAGATCTGTCTGTGGACAGCCCGCTCCACTAATCTCTGTGCTGGATGGTAAAATAAAAGCAACATATAGGAAAGGCCGCGGGGCATTACTCTGCAAATGTGTTTATCAGAAGAACCAGCCCTTGATAGTCAATAAATACTTCCAGTTTGAAGTGAAAACAGTCAAAAAAGGGAAATAACAAAGCAAAAACAGCTTTCAGGATTACCTTCCCATACAAATAGTCATTTACATTTCAAATTTGATAGTGAACGTTTAAAGAGAACATCTTTGATACTTTTGAAGAAATGTACCTTAACAAAATAGTTAAGTCAAAAGGGGGCATAACTCTGAAAAAATAAATTAGCAGTTTACCTGCCCTTTAGAAATGCATTACAATTTAAAAGTTTTGAGAAATTGACCTAAAAAATGAATTGTACAATAAATTATCAACGCTAAGAAAGAACATACCAATTCTTTTAATAACTGTGTAACTGTTTGGCTAGTGTTCCCTCCCTTCACAAACATAGTTCGCTTTGTATTTTCATAGATCTTTGATTCCCTGCCTTGAAGGAATCTTTTCCCACGTTGGGTTTTTGGCTTGCTAAAAATAATAAAATGAAAACATGTATACGAGGTGTCAATATTTTTTTTTTACAAGGCATTCAGGCCTTGATTTCCTTACATAACTTTAACTGGTAAAAGGAGACAAATCCAATGCTACAAGAAATTCCAAAAGGTATAGCATAAAATTCCCAATTGTTAGTCAGCAATCTCTTTTAAAGAAAAATCACTCACAAGGGAATTCCTTGAGAAAACATGAATACAAAGGCTATCAATAGAAACTTACCTTTTACTCATAACATGTTCATGATATGTACAATATGTTACAAACAAATGATTACAAAGGCTACATACATATAAGAGCTTCTTATATATTTTATTTTGAACAAAAGATCATTCATTCCAAAATTCTTAATTTAGGAATATTATAATATAGTGTTAACATGTTATTGTTAAAAAAAATGAGATCAAAGATCAACAAGGCACTCAGATCATCACCATTCTTGACGAAATTCATGATGATGACAAGATTCAGCTTTTGTTCTGCATTTTAATTTTGGATCAGTGTCATTGACAACATTATTTTCATCTTAATTTGATACTTCTTCCCGGTAAACGTTTTGGGACAATAGTTATCTTGTTTTGTTAAGGAAGTTGTTAATATCTGCTGTTTTGAAGCAGAAGACATTTCCGAGCAAACATTTTTGTAAGTTTGCGGAATATGACTACAGCAATAAACAATTTCATCTAAGCACTTTAAATGTCTGCAGTATTGTATAAAAAAAAAGTGTTTATTAAGAAGTTGAAACAGACTACATGTAAATGCCAGACATTAATTTTATTATACTAATTACATGTAAGAATCCAGGGTTAACATTTTTAACAGATGATGATTTATACAGTCTGTATATCTGACATTCGAAATGAGTAAAATGGAACAGTAAAATTCTTACGTCAGTGACGTCACAAAATATGAACTGACTGAATTTCATTGCGTTATGGCCAAAAATAGTGCACCAAAATGCAAAAACGTGCTTTAAGTTTAAAAGAAATACAGTTTGCATGTTAGACTGATACATAAGGCTCCCACGTTTACAATTTTTTGTAAACATTAACACGATTGCTAAGAACCGAAACGTTACCGTTTAAACAGTGGTACTTCAATGTACTATACTACACCATGCATTCGAGTCGCCAAATGATGACTTGCTTTCTATTTTTTATACATGTACAAATAAATAATGTTCAGGACTCATCATAATTGAGTTGGCACATATGCTCTTTTGAAAGATCAAAGGAAAATCAACTTTACCAAAAATGTAATGTCATGGGGAATTATTGCACGGTAATGCTGTGTGAAGGGTTGTAAACACCCATTTTCTGTTTTTTACTTTGGAATAAACCAATTAGAATTAATAAAATCCATAATTACATGCAGGGCTCTCAGTAGGGTCAGAATTTCACGAGTCAAAGACTCTTTGGCTAAAATTTTCATGAGTCAAATAATTTTTTTCTAGTGTCATTTGACTACATGAATCATTATTATGTTACAAAAATAACTGTATTGGAGGTCATTTTTGGAGATTCCAAAGTCTAAATTGACAGAAAAAAATGCCTAATTATAAATGTCTATACCCCCACCTCCTAAAAAACAAAACAAAACAAAAAACAAAAACATGAATTGCTGTGAAAGAATAAAATAAGCAGCAGCTTTTCTGATTAAATGTATAAAATATAAAATAAATATCTTTACTGGTATGCTATATCATATTAATTTTAAATACAAAATGTACCAGGAATATTTATAACATATATAAGAAATGCACAGGTACTCCAAGTAAATGAAAGACGTATTATAAACCTTCAGAAGCAATCAATAATTGACATCTCAAGTATGTAATTCTTATCAGTTGTGTAGAGCTATTTTTAGCGCTGTCAAATTGCAGCCACTGAATTGTCGCGCTTCAGTGCACAGGGTATAAACAATTGCCGTGTGTAAAGCATTTTATACACATCTATACTGCCTGTTGACATTTTTTATGAGTGTGATTTGAACACATGTAGGATTTGATAGATAATTAGGGGTGGATTTAAGGTAATTATTATTGCATAGCTGAAAATCCCATGTGGAAAATTGACTCTTGAGCAGATTTTATGACGTGTCAAATATGTGCATTTCCCAATTTTCACGAGTCAAAACCCGGATCCCCGTGTCAATCGAGAGCCCTGTACATGCAATGATTAAGATATTTTGTAAGACAATATAGTCATTTCGATTAAACGGTAAAATATATCGTAAACGTTTACGAATGAAAATCGAAACAAATCCATTTTAACGTGTAACCGTGGGGGCCTTACTGATACAAAACAAAATGAATTGGTACATCATACAAGAGCGATCAGTAATCACATGTGTCGCCTCATAATGGCCAATTTCATGTTGGGACAAATTTTGTGACAGACGGACAGACAGACAGACAGTGCACAACTAGACTAAGTACTGATCAATCATGTAAAGTTTGGATAAAATTGCACCAGTAGCTTATGAGGAGTAGTCCGGACAAGCTTTTGCGTATCTGGCAACACACAGAAAAAAACACCTTTTTATCAAAGGGCCATAACTCGGCCAAAAATCATTCAACCGGAAAACCCGTGCAATATGCGCAAGGACTTGAGCTACAGATCAATCCTGTAAAGTTTCATTGAAATTGCATTAGTGGTATAAGAGAAGTAGTCTGGACAAACTTTAAAAATAAAAATTATTAAAGGGCCATAACTCAAACAAAAATCATTGAACCGGAAAATGCTGACAATATGCACAACTAGACTTGGTACTGATCATTCCTGTAAAGTTTGGATGAAATTGCACCAGTAGTTTATGAGGAGTAGTCCGGACAAGCTTTTGTGTATCTGGCAACACACAAAAAAAGAAACCTTTTTATCAAAGGGCCATAACTTGGCCAAAAATCATTCAACCGGAAAACCCGTGCAATATGCGCAAGGACTTGAGCTACAGATCAATCCTGTAAAGTTTCATTGAAATTGCATTAGTGGAATAAGAGAAGTAGTCCGGACAAACTTTAAAATTAAAAATTATTAAAGGGCCATAACTCTGACAAAAATCATTGAACCGGAAAATCCTGACAATATGCACAACTAGACTTGGTAGTGATCATTCCTGTAAAGTTTGGATGAAATTGCACCAGTAGTTTATGAGGAGTAGTCCGGACAAGTTTTGTGACGGACGGACGGACAGACGGACAGACAGACGACGGAGAAGTGATCCCTATATGTCGCCACTACTCCGTAGAGGCGACACAAAAATATACCAGTCGGTGCATCATACATATATTGATGCATTGTGTATTAATTTGGCAATATACTTCTACTAGACCTGATATTATGGACTTCAAAAATTATGTGTTATAAAAACAATGAAAAGGGAAATAAATCTCACAAAAGTGACCGAAGCCAAATATTTTTCTCCCTGTTTAAGTCAAATAGTATTTTTAATAAACAAACAAAGTTTAAAAGAAATATCTTTATTTTTTCTAGAAATATGATTTTTTATGACATAAGCCCGATTGGGCATTTTCACCAATTTATTTTTTAAAATATTTGGAGATAGAATAAGAAAATATCAGTTTTAATTTAAACAAAATTTTCTTTGAAATATTTTTTTTTTAATTTTAAACTTTAAATTGTTATAAATTTGATTAATTTTATTAGGTGGTAATGGGTTTAAATCAAAATTTTATCCCCGAAAAATATTTTAAACAAATGAATTATAAAAAAACTTAAAAAAGATAATTTTCCCTTTTAAAAATAAAAATTTTTAAAAAAACAAATTGTAAAAAAAATCTTTTTACGGCCCTCTTTGCATCGCAAACCAGATTTTGAAAATTTTCCCTTTTAAAAATTCTTCTTTCCCACACTGTTTTACTAACGGTGACTAATTTGTGGCGGCCGTCCTAAAACGCGGACGCCTTAAGCGGACAATATAAACATATGGGGGAAAACGCTGAAAATAATAGAAAAGAAGAAAAAAGCGGGACGATATAGATGATATAGAGTGTAAAATGACTGAGCATAGTTTAAATTTCATATTAAAGGGCTAATAACTGGCTTTTATAAAGTAATATCTGAAAAGGTGTTAATTATTTATAATAATTAAAAAAAAGGATTTTAGTTTTTATTTATTTTTTCAAAAATTACTTAAAATTTATGTTTTTTATTTGTTCATGTTAATTGACTTAAAGGGGTAGGGTAACCACCCCTAATGGGCACTATAAAAGGAACTGTTAAATTGACAACAATAAGGAAAGGTTAAATGCCTTAAATGTCACCCTGTATGCCAAAAATTTAAAAGCAAAATTTTTAACCAGTGTGGTTTATGAGGTTTATGGACATTTTTCTTGAACTAAAAACTTTGCCAAAATTAGAAGGGCTTTTTTTTCAGAAAAATGGGGAAACTCTAAATTAATTTATAAATATCCAATCATTATGAAAAATGTTTTTTCTATTGCTCATTGTTTAGAAACCAAATAATGACATTAAGGTAACAAATTAACACAAGCCAAAATGATTGTTTTTTAAAAAACGGTAAATGTTTTTAATTATGTAAAAAAATGTTTAACCCTAAACCCCACCCACTTTTTAAACCACTTTTTTTTGACCATTTTTCCATGTGTAAAAAGCCTTTTTTTTAAAATATCCCTAAAAATTTTCAACAAATTAGGGGCTGTTTTTCAAAGTTTGCCTAAATTTTTCTTTAATGTATATTGGTTGGGTCTTGCCCAAAAATATAAAATACTTTTACCGTGTAGTTTTTATTTTATTAAACTTTGAAAATATCTGGTATCATATTTGCTATTAAATTTGGCATTATTTAGTAAATAAAAACCTACAATTTTTTTTTAATTAAAATTAAACATTTTTTTCTCCCATTAGGGATGTGAGAGATTAATAAAAAATGTTAAAAAGAAAAAAAAAAGTTACCCCTTCTGGGGGTTGAACCCACGCCCCTCAGTTTCAATACACTTTACAGTGATTCTAGCCTATTTGAATACTCTTCAAAGTGG